TGTTGTTTTGTTTGTGATTTCTTGCACTTTATTTCCGGCCACTCGTGGCGATGACAGCAGAGCAGGAGAGCAGGAGTGGAGCAAGCTGCTCATGATTGGAGGGCTCGCGAGAGCTCCAAAGTTTCCCGCTACAGACTCGCCTGCGGGATTCGGCGATGCGCGCGCTCCTCAAAGACGAGAGGGCGCAACCAAAAATCCTGCGACTGCGATTGGCTGCTGCGCACAGTGACGTAGTACTCTTGCATGTAATCCGGCTCCGTCGTCTGCTGCTCCTCCGTCCCCGGCGTTTTCGTAGTGTTTTGCTTGCTATCGTCTATTGTTGCAGCCATTCGCATTTCAACCAATTTTACGAAACTATTTTCAAACGTCTTCATGAGACAATTTTCAACTGTCTTTACGAGACCGTTGTTGCATTCGCTCACGATGCGTCCAACGAAAAGAAAGACTCAGCAAGTTTTCGGTGCAAGGAAGCGATCTTTGAAGGTTGTCTGCATGGCGAGGCTCTCCGCTCGCACGTGCGCTGGTGGTGATCGCGCCGACAGCACACGTGGAGCATCTTCTTCATCTACGCAAGAGTGTAGTTGCATCGATGCATCTAGACATGGGACTCCTGCTCCACCTGTGCAATAGTTTGACGTTGCAAATGCGCCTAGTGTCTCGAGCTCATCGACAGGGCCTTCCGCATCCTCTTTATCGGCCTGCGAGAGTGCGATCGCATCGTCAACTGTGCAGTTGCGAACACGTTTTCTGATGTGCGAAGAGACAGGCGGCGTATTAACAGCGTGCTGCGATTCAAAGAGAACTTGACGCTATGCCAGCCATGGAGCAGAAATTTCAGGCAATGGAGCGTGATCTGGCCATTCAGCGGGCAGCCGAGAAAGGCAGCAAAGAAAGCGAGTGCCAAAGGACACCTCAAGTTATGCTGCAGGGTTGTTTTAGACTTGCATATGTGCCAGAAACTTTCAAATGTCGTTTTGTCTAAATGGCTAGTGAGGCTGCTTGATCCAGCCATATCTGGGGAACCACTCATCCTATTTTCATAATTTTTTTATTATGTACATGAATTAATTTCTGAGGGGGAGACAGGTCCTTTTGAGAGGGAGACAAGTCCCGGTATTCAGCTGTGGAGATGGTGAATATTTCGTGGGCGGTGGGGACGACTACATGCGCGCGAAACTGTTTTTGCGAGGCCGACTTCATCGACATCGGGCCCGATGCCGAGCGTGAAGCTTCCAAACGGGATCACTGCGGCGGCGATTTGTGGCAGCGCGTCGTCGACTCCGACCTGGGAGAGCGGGTGGGACATCTGTTGTGATGGTTTAATTACGGCCGATGATGATGCCGACACTGCGGAACCATGCAGGGATTAGGGCATAGTGAATGAAGTACGTGGCGAGAGTGATTTGGGAGTATCGTATTGCGAGAACAACGAAACTTTGGAGCCAGTGCCTCATGCAACCTATGCCACGGGCCTCGGCGAACGAGCACCCTGCTGTTTTAAATGAACTCAAGACTGCCTTTATCGCTTCTGTTCTTCTAAACACGTGTGTCACGGACTTTTTGGGGCAAAAAAAGTTTGTGTTTTCACTCGCAACTTTTTTGAAAAGCTGTTTTATTTACTACGAACTTTGGGATACAGCGAACGGATGCAGCATCACGCTCAGGTTTGTTATAAGCGGGCTCGACTGTATTCGAGCTGCTTTGTGGTCTCTGTGGTGTCCAGAAATTCATTTGGCGTCTGTAGTTTAGCTATCATGCACAAACCTTTAGTACTGCTCTTGTGCAACTTTCGAATTCGTTAGAGAGTCTACATCCCTGCTTTTTATCCCTCTTGATATCAAGAACTGCTAATACCACTTCGTGATTTGTAAAATTTCACATGACCTTTCGTCAGGCTTTCATTATGGGGACATCAATCTTCATTGTGTTGCATATATTGTTACAGTTGGCAGTCTTGTTTGGTGACTGTGGTGAGTGGTGCGTGTCTGAGGGGGGAGGTGGCATGGAAAAAAAACTTTTTTTGTTTGTTGACCTACAGCAATGAAATTTGACATGCATACTCATAAGTATCTCGAATAGGGAAATATGCAGTTTCATCACGATACCTTCAGCAGTTCACAAGTTGCATAATGCTGCATGGTCCAATCGCATGGTCTGCTCCTGGAAAGCCTAGCGCTGTAACAGAACATGCCAGGATGCTGCGAATGATGTTGATCTTCACTCAAAGGAAAGCTACAGGGTATGGCACTCTCAGAATTCTTTAATAAGTTCTCTCTTTTTTTTTTTAGAGATCATCATGGCTGCCGACACACATTGTCAGAAACAGTGGCTCGGACAAATCATTGTCTGTATAAAAAAAAAAACGGCCATAAAACAGAAGTTGAAGATTGCTGTACGCACAAGCAGTGTTCAGGGATTAAGGAAAAAAACAGAATCAAAATCGGTCCAGTCATTCCCGTGCTACTCTTTCCACGAGCTATTCACAATGTCCAAAACACACTTGTGAAAAATAGCCTGTCGAAGTTTTGGACAGGCTTTTTTCTATGAACTTTCTTGTTTCTCGTTGGATATTGATGAAAATTGGCACAGACACTAAGGATGACCTCACAATGCTTCCATAAAAATTTTGAAAAGAAATAAAAATTTTGAAGCGAAGTGTAGATATTTTGGAACCATATAGAAAAAGGGTTCCAGAAACTGAAAACTTGAGTTTTTGCAATCCCAAAGCCGCCTTCCCCCTTAAATAGTGCACAAGTGTGTGCCTTTGGAAAGCATGCGTCACAAAAAGTAAGATGTAAATGGCGATGACGTTAAAGATGTCAAGCACGAAAATGCGCAGCGCGACATCAATAAAATAGAAGATAAACAAATATAAAAGAACACGGATATTGTAAGGACCAATAGCTGGGCACCATGAAACTTCAACATCGCCAATTAGAACGAGACAAGTGGGCCAGTGTTGAAAAGAGATCCTAAGGCGAAGAGCGAGGGAGTTCGAAGAGTACGTGGCAAGCAGAAGGTTGTTGTCGGACTGGGCGCTGAAGATGGGCAGTCAGGTTTCGGACTCGAGCCAAGAATACTTCAGCCTGCGGGTGGGCCTCCTGCTGACACATTCCCGTTCAAGAGGACCATAGTCAACCGGTCGTGAACTTCATCCCAGGACCTGTGTACTGCAGGTGCTACAGGCAAGCAGCAGCAGTTCGGCTTCAAGCCCGAGCTGTGCATTAAGCTGCCCAGCCTGGTTGCTGCTGCTGCTTCAACGTTTCACCCAGCAGCCATTGCTCTCTCATCGCCACCAGCCAGCCCGCGTCCTAACGCAGGAGCCACCGTGTTCCGGTTTCTTATGCGTCGCCGAGCCTCAACGACACCACTCAGCCATATCCGAACTATGATTTGTAGTTTAAGGCTTTGAACTTTTTGTGTTTATATATGTTTGGCCATGTACAGTCAGCTTTTTATTAATTGCTTTGTGTTGTTGAGATTTTCAGTTCGTCTGTTTACTTTAATATTTTGCATGGGTTTTGTCAATCCAAACAGCTTTGTCCTCGTTCATGCTCTCAGAGGCACAGCCCTAAAGCGCTCGCACTTGGAAAAAAAGAACTTGCATTACAGGGACCAAGAGCATAAATAGAAATTTCTTTAATGTGCTTTCTTCAGTGGAGGCAAATTAATGCTGTATTGTGATGTCTTGCATTAACGAGAAGGTGCATATTACCGTATTTACTCGCATAATGAATGCACTCGCATATTAAATGCACCCCCAACTTATTGTCAAAATCTGGATTTTTTTTTCTCCGTTGTAATAAACGCACCGCCACATTCATCCACTGCAGCCCCGCTAACCGACACATGGCGCCTCCTTGCCCGTTAGATTTCTTGTTTTTTATTATTATGCCCCCTCTGGCCACCTCAGCTCACTCTCTCCCCCCCCTTCACCTGCTGCCGTGCACGGCACATCTGCTTTTATTATTATTATTATTATTATTATTATTATTATTATTATTATTATCCGTACACCACAGCGGTGTTCACAAATTGTGCGAGTGTAGAGACATTGCAGCTGATAAGCACACAGTAAGCGGAGGTCACGAAACTACCCGCACCAACCGACGATCGCTTTCTGCAAATGTGAAACTTAAGGCTTACCCTCATATCCGTCATTTTCGATCGAAGACAACAGGGTTTGCTGTCGCACTGTAGCAGAGGGCTATCTGTCATCATTGCGTAGTAGGTTTCTAGAAAACCTGAATAAATCGCTTGTTGCCTAGAAAAGATTGTGAAGATTTCCGAAACATTGTAGCACCAGAGAATGCAGCACCCCCGATTCTCGCTTCAGTTGCAGTTTACTCCTCTGGCTTGTTATCCATGGGTACTTCAAGGAACGCAAGATATAGATTACCCTTTCTACAGTAAATTCTCATGTGAACAGCAAAAAGGCTACCGTATTTTGTTGTTAATCTTGTTAACAAGGGTTTGTTTTGGATGCTTTGGTGTTAGCTTGGTCCAATGTCAATGGCATCATCGCAGTTGTCTTGCGAGGTTGGCAAAGTGCCTATTATCTCATGCTTCTGGGCGCCCCCCAAGATCACAGTATATACTACGGGGGTGGTTAAACATTTGCAAAAAAAAAAGCCGCGAAATGCTTTTATGGAATGCGCGGGGAGCACATGGACAGCATGCAGAAGATAGTGCCTTCAACCACTGCAGATGAGTGAAGTGCAACAGAGAAGCTTTTTTTAAACAGCGTAGACGTATGTCAATCGCAAAACGCTAAGCGACCTAACTTTTTGCATGACTGCATTTTTTCTCATCCCAAAAAAGTTTTCATGAAAATTGCCTTGTGTACCGTATTTAATGTGTAATGAACGCTCTTTTTTTCTAGAAAAATCGGAGCAAAGTAGAGGGTGCACTTATTATTGAAGTGCATTCATTACGCGAGTAAATACGGTATGGGAATGAGCCACTATCGTCTCACTGTGCATCTTTTCTGGGTGTTGCAGGTTGCAGTACCTTGCACGTGGTCTTCAGGTGTACATAAAAAAGCTTCGCTTGGCGCTTCAAGGGAAGAAGCCGTCGGAGCTGAAGACAGAGGAGGTACGAGAGTGTGTGTTTCATCTGCGCAGCTCAAATGAGTACGAGCGACTGTTTTAAGTCGGAAAATCTTTCTTCGTTATTCTGGAAAGAAATGGTCACTCGTGCTTTCTCGTTTTTTAGCGGCTCCGAAGGGAAGAATAAGGATGTTTACCTTAATCACCCAGTCCAGAGCCTTCTTATAGATGTAGTTGGTGCCCACGTTGTTTAAGCTTGGGCATTATGTATTACTTGCTGAACGAAAACACGAGTCGAAGGAGACAGATTTATGATAACTGGCCTTAAATTTGTACTCATATGCAGCTACTACAATGTCTGAATGATGAGAGCCCAAGATATTGCAGTTAAAAATAGTTATCTTGTTTGGCACATGCACTTTAGTTTTTGAAAATTTTTAATTTCAAGTAAATATGCCATCCAGAATGCAATTTGTGAAGGTTGTACTTGATGTTAACCATGGTGCTGCATGTTCACCGACTCTGCTAAGGCCACATAGACGGGAAGGAAAAGTACTGATAAATGATTGTTGTGTGTCAATGAAAGACGTTCTGAGGAGTGTAGCACAAGTCCGCATTGAATCTGCTCTGATCTTAGTTTTGTTTGCGCTTTCGCTTCCCTCTGTGTAGAACAAGCTGAAGGCGGCAGCCTTGAAGACCACGTCCAACATCAACGCTCTCATCCGGGATCTGTTTCATGTACCGCCCTCCTTCAAGTCCTCAATCACACTTTCGTGGAAGCCAGTCCCCACAAATGTACGTCTCCCCTTCTTTGATTTGTTAGGGGCCAGTGAAGTGGCTCTGTTGGCATTGCTGGGACGGTGTGATTAATCGACCACTTGATGGGACAGGTATTTCCACAAGGTTATACGTGGCCCACGGAAACGAGTTAAACAATTGAAAAAGCATGTGGTACAATCTTCGTAAATAGGAATAGCTGAAGGGACACCACTCTTGAAATTTTCCAATTCGATGCAATTTGCTGCGAGTTTTTTTATTTTTGTTCAGATTTCAACCATGCAGTTTCTCTGGTATACAGTAATATCTCGTTAACTCGAACTTGCATAATCGGCTAAGTCGAAATTTTTCACAGCACAAAACATTTTTCTATAAGTCCCGTGTATACTTTTTTTCCCTTTATCTCTGAAGTATTTTTGGGTCAGATTGCAGATAACTCGAAATCTTGACTGAGACTGGAACTAAAATTATGCCGCCAGACCATTTCACAAGATTCGCGCTATGCTGCCATGCCTAAAATCTGTCTCTTTTTCTTATTTAGTAGTTTCTGCCACTACGTCGCTGCTTTCCACGAATGAGAAGTGCACAAAGTCTCAGCTCAACGACATATCAACCACGCTTGAAGTAGTTCGACTCAATTTGCAATCATCGCAGTATCGTAAAAATGCCCAAATCCGGAAGCGGCACACGTGCGTTAGGAGATAGCAGTGCTGGCGACTGTGTTGTCTCTGTGGCTGACGTTATCAATGCGCCAAATACAACAGTGAATCTGAGGACGACGACCATTCGTCGAACACCTCAGAAGAGTCGACATTATGGTTTGAAGTAGACTTTACGGTTCTGCGTATAGGTGGACTCCGATTATGGGTCGACCCCTCAACTTGGGAGGGCCATTTTATGAAAAAGAAAGGCTTATACCGTATTTACTCGCATAATCCTCGCACTCGCATAATTCTCGCACCCCCCACATCGCCCAAGAAAACTACGAAAAAAATTTTTCCTTGAGTAATCATCGCACCCCCGAAAACTGCCGCAATAATGTCGTCTGCTCGTTCCAGCCACAGATGATGATAGCGCACGCCATTTGGCGGTATCTCTTAAGCATCAAGCGTACTATTGCACGGAGATTCAATCCAATCCAAGCCAAGCCGAAGTGGCCAGTGCGCGTTGCGGCGTGTTTTGTATGTTGTGTTGGTTATCTTGGCACGTTATGGGGCGATACTGAAGCCACACAGCTGCTTCAATTTGCAAGTGATAGATCATACGCTAAACAATGGCAACAGGGACGCCGGTAGGCCCTTCGGAGCCTACGAGTTTTGTGTTCGCTACTGGTGACGGCAGCTGATAGCCACCGAGACGCGTTGGGCCTGCCGTGTGCCTAAAACTGGGATTGATGGTAAACTTTATTTCTTCAAAAGGAAACTGCGGACGATTCTGTTAAATAGCCATCAGCCCAATACTGACGACCTACGCTTACCTTTTGAGGGCTCCTGTTGAGCGCCGACCGCTATCGCTATGCCCACAAGCTTCGCGTATGGTATTCTAATTCTCGACTATTTGCTTCCAATTTTTATGTCTCAAATAAATCTTGCCTTGTGTTGAACCTCTGCTTTTATTGTTAAGGTAAGTTCTAATTAGTACTTAGTAAAGCTTACTGTAAGTTGCTGGTGTGAGAATCCCGATTTGCGGCCACTTCGTTTTTTTTTTCCGCTCTGCTTTTTCGTGGAAAGTTTTCCCCGCGTAATTCTCGCACCCCCTAACTTTGCATCAGGTTTCCGGCAGAAAAAGTGCGAGGATTATGCGAGTAAATACGGTAATAGAGTAAAGTGCAAAGTATTTTATGTGCCCTTTCGGCACCAAGAGTCTTTGTAAACTAAAGACTAGAAGAGCTATAACTCTAATCAGGATACAGTCAAAACACGCAACGAAATCGCCGGGGAAACAGAAAAATTTCGTTTTCGCGAGAATTTCTTTGCTGCGAGGGTGAGACATAAAAACAGTGATACGGCCAGCAGAATGAAAATTTGTTGCCAGAAGTCTGTCAACTTACTTTGCTGACCCTTGCCGTGCAACAACTTCAAAGCTCTCCCTTCGCACTGAAAAAAAGTGGTCCATTGCTACGTCGTCGTCATGTGCACCGAAGAAGGAGCGAAGGGTGTCGAGCGCATCCAAAACAACCCGCGGGTTGGGTTTCTCCGCGTGCGTCTCTTCTTGGTCCTCGGTGTCGTCAGCTTCATGCACGCTTTCGATAATGGCCTCGTCGGTCACTTTCTCGTACACGACTACGTCGTCATCAGCGCAAACGAATGCATCAACGGTGAGTTCATGTGGGATGTCGATGTGGATGGCTCGAAGTTACCACTAGGGGTTGGTCAGGGATAAAGGCACTGCACTGCCACCACTCTCGCCGTCAAGTGCGCCTTCGTCCAAATCTTCATCTGGTGAGGCCAAGCGCAATCCGTGCGTGATACTTGCACAGTGGTGGTGAAGCCCGCATGATCATTTGCCATCGCCTGCTGCAGTGTGGCCAGGCATGTTGCTGGACACAGACCCCCATCGCCGATTTAAGTGAAGAAAAATGGCGATACCCACGCTGGCGCAGCAAAAGCAGACATTTACAAATTTCGAGTGCGCATAACACGCATACGAGCATATTTTCGACAGTTAACTTTTGGCCAAAGGGTAAAATAAGGTCCGCGTTTGGTAGAAAATTCGTTAATGTGGGATCGCTGTCCGAAAACATTTCGTTGCCGCGAGATACGTAATACATGGGCTTCTATGAACGTTCACCGGAGATCCGGAAATATTTCGTTTCCGCGGGGACTTCGTTATTGCGGGTTTCGGCTGTATTGCAGTATTCTGGAATGAGAACTCTGTGTAGGGCAGCGAAAGTGGATATCCTAAACCCATTTTAGCATAAGGAATGGTACGTTAAATGTTCACGAATGAGCCCCTTTTGAGCTGGGATTTCACTTTCGAATGTTCAAGATGTATTTTCAATGTGCATTTGATGGTGTTGAGAGCACTTGGGTGCTTTTTATCTACATAATTGTACTTATGATGACTTTTGCTGTTCTCTCAAAATTTTTTTTCGTTTGTTTGTAGGAGAAGATTGGTGCCGAAAATTCTCAGACGGTTCAGGCAGCAGGGTAAGCAGCATATATTTTCCGGCTGCGGCGGCTGCATTTCCGATGGAGGCGGAAATGTTGTAGGCCCGTGTGCTCAGATTTGGGTGCACGTTAAAGAACCCCAGGTGGTCGAAATTTCCGGAGCCCTCCACTACGGCGTCTCTCATAATCATATAGTGGTTTTGGGACGTTAAACCCCACATATCAATCAAGCAGCATATATTTTACCTTCTTATGTCCTTGAAGTCTTCCATTGTTTGTTTGACTTCACAAATGGCCTTTTATAGCCATTAAAAAAAATGTATCTGAAAAGCTTTAAACAAGGATTTTCTATTTTTACCATGGAATTTCGTAGATGCAGCGAACATGTATTGACGGAATATAAGACCCACCATGAAGATAGTGGTATGATAATTATGGCACGATGAAAAGACTAACTATAATGCTGTGCTCATTAGTTGAGTTTGCTACATTGCAGCAAACTCCAATTTAGATAACCTTATTACTTCACAAAGTGAAACATCTTCCGGTAAGCTTCATCTTGGTTCACTCGAGGAAGTGTGATAACTCTTTGAAAAACTTTCCCACGTGTTCCTGAGCGGTGATAAGGTAAGTGTCGATATGTAGGAGAGATGCAGGTCAAACAAGCACGATTTTTATTTTGGAAAAAATCGATCTTGTGTTTTGTATTCGTTCAAGCCTTTTCCTTAAAGGGGTCCTGAAACACTTCAAGTAACCATGAATAGGATTCGCTACAAGAACTTAATGCCTTACGAATCAAAGCCGCAAAAAATTTCAAGAATCCATCCACTACGAGCAAAGTTACAATGCAGACGCATTCTCTCTTCTCTCGTCCCAACGAAAGCGCTGGAAGTTGAGCAGGGAGGGATGGCAGAGGAAAAAAATTTGTCACGAGCGCCTCGTGACCTTGAGCACTGCTTTTTTTGTTCTTCTTTCATGTGCGGAACTTCATTAGTGGGCAGGTCGCGGGTTCGATTCCCGGCTGCGGCGGCTGCATTTCCGATGGAGGCGGAAATTTTGTAGGCCCGTGTGCTCAGATTTGGCCGCACGTTAAAGAACCCCAGGTGGTCGAAATTTCCGGAGCCCTCCACTACGGCGTCTCTCATAATCATATGGTGGTTTTGGGTCGTTAAACCCCACAAATCAATCAACTTCATTAGTGGGATCGCACACGTGGACAAGTTGCGGCCTCCCATGGTGGTTCCTGTAACGATCGAGCGCGCCATGTTCAAATCAGCCAACAACTGATAGATGGCCTTCTATGAGTGATTTTTGAGCGTCTTCTGTCATTTGTCGAGAGAAGAGAAAGCAATTTTTAGCTGACTTTGATAATTTGTTGTGAATTCCAGGTTACGTGCTGCGCTATATTATTTAGCTCGCATGTTCTTGGGAGCCCTTAATACTGATCGGCAGCGCTTTCTGACCATGCTCAAAAAAGTGTTGCAAGGCCCCTTTGATTAATGCATTAAATAATCAAACCTGAGAATCAACTAGAAGTTCTAAAAAAATACAATTAAAACACTGGTAGTGGCTTGCAAAAGTGCGAAATTACCCGATTTCTATGTGCGCGGCACTTCGTTCTGCGGCATCACCGGTTCTTGAAATTACGCGGGCATGCTGGCCTAACCCTCTTCTCCCAGAGTCCACTTCGGCAGCGTGGCATTCTCCCTAAAAGACAACATAAAAAGATTGTTCCCTATGCATTCTAGCGTGGCGATTGAGCCTTTGAAGTCACGTGGTATGATCGGAGCACTCTCTCTTCGTTCTCCCGTTTTTCCCGAGACATAGACGAACACAACTGCCTCAGGGTGATTCCACGAGAGATCAACACGGGTCCAAAAGTTGATATTTTAGATTTCATTGAGTATTTTATATTTCGTGCACCTCTCACCAGGTAGCCCGAAAGTCAACTTCGTTTTATGATTAAAGGCATACCGTATTCAAGCTGTGGATACTTGTGCGCAAGTATCCACAGTGCGAATGCAAAACTTAAGTATAGTACGTTAAAATGAATTTCACAATGTTTTTGTCAATAAAATTACGGGAGGTGTAATCTTTGTCCCTACTTTGAACCATATGATCTAAAGCATTGCCTCCGAGATGCGGCGCACAGCAATTCATCTGTAGAGCAGACGGCGGATGACAACTTGCCCTAAAGCGTGTTCTTCAGTCTAATGCGGCAGTCTTCGTGCCCCAAATGATAAAAATTTGTTATGAATCGTTTATGAACTCATTCAACATTCAATTCTCTTACCCAACGTGTTGCAAACACATAGCCGTCACAGCAGCTCCATCTGTGTGTCAGTAAGGGAGAGGCACCACATATTAGAAGTCTCAGTGCTCTACGTATAAGAGTGAATTCAGATACTGTAGAATACCGTGTTCAAAATAGTTACTCCTATCTGCTAAAACAGCCTTTCTTCACCAAATGCGGTCACGTTTACTCGAGTTTGAAGCTTATTGCCGCTTTTCCGTTCCGATTTCTAGATTTCTCAACCTATTAGTGCATTCTTGAAAAGCTCTGCTTTGTACCACGAATAATGTCGCTAAAAACAAAATAATGCAACATGTTTTTCTATGTTATTGTATGATGGCCTTCGGTTGTCTATTTACGAGATTTCAAGAAAAATCGAAGATGGAGTTTTTTTATTATTCAAATTTCAGTGGAGTACACTTTCGCCAATATTAGAACTTTTAGCATCTGCAATTTTCGAAAATGACAGGTGACGAAATCGGTGCCTCCGTGTTGGTGAAGTTTGATATTCTTTTTCTCGTAAGTTATGCCATTAATAATAAAACGAAGTTGACTTTCGGGCTACCTGGTGAGAGGTGCACGAAATATAAAATACTCAATAAAATCTAAAATATCAACTTTTTGACCCATGTCGATCACTCGTGGAATGACCCCTGAGGTACTGTTTCCCCATCATGGTACGGTGAGAAATGAGACTTCCGTTCATGAAAGTTCATGACGAGGCACCAGTGCAAGGGAAGTCGCCACAAACGCAAGCAATGAGCCCCGGCGATGGGACGTTTGTCTGCTGCCATGCCTAGTCGCGGCAGCGTTGACGCCCCCGATTTGGATTGTTCAAGCTTCATTCATAGTGTTGATGACTTCGTTGGTACTTTAGAGAGAAAGATAAAGATAATCGACGAAAGAAGCAAGCGTCAAGACGAACGTGCAAGCGCATTAATTTTTGGGACGGATGCGATGGAGAATCTCGTCAGTGGCGCAGTGTGCCCAAACTGCGGTCGGTGCGAGCTGTCTGTTCGAGAATTGGCAAGTAGACGATAGGGACTGGCATTATTTTCAGAATTTATCGGCGCAACTTTATTTTCAGCGAGAGGGCTGCCTGCCAAAGTGAGCTCTGGGAGAAGGTGGTTAGTCCTACATACCTCTGTGTGAAGTGCCGCGTGCACAAAAATAGTGTAATTTTGCACTTTAATGAGCCACCACGAGTGCGTTAATTGTATTTTTGGATTACTTGTAGTTTATTCTCAGCTTTTGATTATTTAATATGTTAAGGGGAAAGTTTAGAATACAAAACACAACGAAACACAAAATCTTTTTTTTTTTCTTTTTGAAAAAGTTACGGTTTTTCGATTCGCATTCGCCATTAAACTACTCCATATTCTACGTTATGTATTGTGTGTGACAGCTTGGTCAAGAATGTGTTTGACTGCATGACGAGATCGAAGCTTGTCATTCTCATTGGCGGCCCAGTCGAATCGACCCAAGCCATTGAACTCTGCAGCAATGAACTAAACTGCGTTTCTGCCCACTTAGTCCAAGTCTAAACTTACAAAATTTAGAACAATGGTCAAGCCACTGAAAATTCTGAACATCTTGCACATTCCTTCTGTTCCTTTGAAATAACTGAAAAAAACTTGTTTGTGTCACATTATCCAGCTTGCTTCGCACATACAGGGCTCTCCATCGCAATGTTTATACATTTGACATTTAATTTGCCGGACCCTCAAGGAACCACACTAACGTCCAGAAAATTGGACAGTCTGGAAAAATCAATGCAACCAATAGTGGTGCGTCTTTTTAATAGGTATTTTTCATTGACAGAGAGGATTGCAACAGGAGTACAGGATTTTCGTAGCAATTCAGCGAATGCATCGTTTATAGATTGCTGTGAAAAGAGCCATTTACATTTAAAAAAAAGAAACAAAAGACAAAGATTTTGATGTGGCCAGCGCTACTGCATTTGTAAACACCTTGTGTTCAAAAAAACAAAAGTCTTACTTTCGTTTGCATGGTGTTCCACTAGCTCACGATGACGTCTGCCTCGATTTCAGCTAATGTCATGCTGTCGCTTTACACCGATGACAGTTTTATAAGTGCTCGCATCAACTCCGAGCTCGTTCGCTGTGTAGACGCTGCCATTTCGATCGCGATGTCGAGAGTGGTTGGAATCCTCCATAACTCGACGGATGATTTCATTATCGGTCAAGTCCACACACAGCTCGAGGTCTTTGTCAGCTTTGTGAAGCCCTCAAAGGTTATCCCAGCTGGAATCGAAACACCTGCAGCATGCAGATCGTCGAGGGCAACGTCTGCGGGTGGAAGTTCGTCACACACGTTGTCCACTCCGGGTGAGGCGACCGTCTCAGTGTCTCGTATGAAGCTTGCGTGGCGAAAACAGTTCTGCAGGATCTGTTGCGTAACCACCTTTCACAGGTTTGCAAGCATGCTGAAGGCAGACCTGAGCACAGCACCATGCGACTCTGGCCACAGGTTTGACTAAGCTACGGCTGGCAACGTATCGGCATGCGCTAGATTGTGGGATTTGCAGTTTCGAGTGTGCGGCAGCTGCGGCGCGATGCTGCTGGCCAGACCTTCGATGGGAGTATGGTGGGCTCGATGGTATGAAAACAACTGAAATGGCAGCATCAGAAGTGACTTCGAGTCTGAGTATAGCGGTAAAAAGGCCAAAAAATCTGATGGGGAAAATTTGTAAAGGTCCGAAATTTCTGACTATTTAATACATCTCTATAGGGAACTTGACAGTGCCACAGATGAGTCACGGAAGTTGGGCATGTCTGGAATTTCAAGCCTCCGAGAAATTGAACGTCGACTGTCCATTTGTTAGTCGTAAAAGCTAAAGCAATAGCTTTCTTAGCTTCTGGGAAGAGCCTAGTAAAAGGCAGTTTTGTTTTTACGTAAATGATCCTTAAATAGAGACTGACTTAGAAACTCTGCTTGAATGTTCCTGCGTTCAGTATCATTTAGTGGTCTGTCAGCTGTGTCTATGCCTTGCAGTAACTGCAGACAGATGTGATTTGCTAATGATGACCCCGGTTATGTTAACCTGGCCGATAGCCTGGCCTGCTATTCCAGGTGTCGGGTGATGACAGAATGGTGCGCATGCATTCTCTGGTGGCCATACTTGCTGTGACTGACCTGCTTTTTTCACTGCTCAGGGCAAAAGGAGAGAAGAGGCGCATCTCCTATCCTGAGGACACGAACAAAGGCACAAAGAGGGTATTTGCACCATCCAAGAACGAGCGAGAGCTGTACAGTCCTCCCAGCGGGAAGTATAGCACCAAAGTACAAGGCTTCCAGTGTGAGTGTTCTTTGTTGTGATTCGTACGACTTAAAGATCCTTGTAACACTGGATGTCACCGGAGTCAGTGTTTCAACAGGTGGACTTGTCTTCTTTAAGGGTGCATTTTCAAGAAGTCCACTTTTTCAAATATTACCGTATATTGCTGATTATAAGTCCACATTTTTTTTTTCCATGAAATGGCTTTTCAAAGTTTGGGGATTGACCTATAATGGAAGTCGACCTATCTGCGGAATCCTATGATCAACTTTGAATCGTAAAGTCGTCTTTTCTTAGGGGTCTGACGAACGGTTGTCATCGTTGGATTGACTACTGTTCAAAGCATCGATAATAACACCAGCCAAAGGGGCAACGCATTCTCAAGAAGTGCTGTCTCTCAATGGGCGTGCGCTGCTTCCGGAGCCGGGATCTGCTGCAATGAACACAAACTATGGTGGAGTTATGGTGGCTAGAGGAGGAGGTGTCAGCAACTGCATGACTGAGATACAGCATTTTTTCATGTTGCCTGACCAATAATATCACGGTTACAGTGGTAGCGCATCCGCATCAGCCCTTCTTTCAGGCGAGATCAACAACACCAGCACACACCGCATATGCGTATCACAGTGCATATGGATTGCGATGAAAGTCAACATGCGCTTATCGCTCACTAACCAAGCGACACACGTTTACCTGTCGCAAAAAACGTCATGTTTATCATTCACGGAAGACGTGACAAGCATTTCTCACTTTGGTGGACAGCGTGCCTTAGAACAGCGCTTGCTGACTAGGCAATTAAAAATGCAGATTTCCTGCGGAGCACCATAGGTGTTCCACAGGAAAGCTAGCAGCGCTGTGTGGGCTGGAAACACTTTGCGGAGAACTAAACCACATGATCAGTCAATCGCTAGCGTTATCACGTCTTTTTGTGCTCACGCTTGTTCGCCATGTCTGCATTTCGCCTTGCTTGCGAACAGCAGTGTGCGCGATTTGCGAAGCTGCTCAACGCCAAATATGCCACGGCTACAACAGCAACAGTACAGTGCTGCTTTTAAGTGGCAAGCGATGCTCCACGCAGAGTCGGAATGCAATGTTGAAACAGGGCGGAAGTTCGATGTGTTGAAAAAGTGCCTGAGGAAATGAAGAAAACAAAGAATTAAGATTCTGCATGCGCGATGACGCGCTGTTCCTTTCACAAACTGAAGCTTAGACGATACCCTGCCATGGAGGAGTCGGTTTGAGATCGGGTTCACGACCAGAGATGCAAGAGTCTGAGTGTTTGCTACAGTGATATTAAAGCAAGAGCATGTACTGTCGTGCAAGGATATGCACATCCAGCTAACCGAGTTCAAGCCGAGCTCTTTGAGTCAAGTGGCACAATGAGTTAATGATGCCTGGTGTAGACTGCCAACTGACATGATCCATGCGCTGTTTTCCATATGTGGCATCTCGGTATCACCAGCATCCTTTTCGACGAGCATCCTGTAAGGCGAGCAGCAGTAGTGGCTCACACGATGACAATGACCGTGACTGCTGCATCCTTCTCGACCCGACTCGACGACGAGTCGAGCAATGTTTGATGGTCAAGGAAATGCTTCTTTGCGTCACCCCCTCTTCTGAAAGACTTACTGGTGTGCTACGGCTGCAGCATGAGGCTGTGTTTGAAGTCAATTTTTTTTTTTTTCCTAAATGGGGTTGCAAGTTGGGGGGTCCACTTATAATTGGAGTCGACTTACAATCTGCAATATACGGTAACGCCAGCAATGCCTCTTGTTGCAACGATTTTTCATTGCTGCATGATTTCATTATTCGCTGAACGTCAACCTTATTTAGATTCGTACATTTGTGATACAAGAGACTGTGATTTAGGCTGTGATTTCACTTCTCTTTTTGTTGTGGTTAAGCTAACTGCTATTTTTCAGTCCCTGTTCACCGCAACTTGAGAAAGAACTACCTACAGAGGAAGAAGCAATGCGCTTGTATGGTGCAACTAGTTGATAGGAGTGCCTATATCTTTAATATCTCCCATGGCACGCATTTTGGTCACCAGTAACCCATGTTCTATAGGCATGGTAACAAAAGAGTTAAATAAATGTAGCCTTTTTGTTTCTAATGAAGAAGCGAAATGTGCACTGCCTACACTGTTTGAGGTCATTGTCGGGTGTGTTCAAGTCAGCCTGTAAGCGTAGCTCTCGCACTCTTTGCTAATGAATCACAACTGTTCTACCAGCTTTTCGTAACATATCTATGCAGCGCTAGTCGATTCGCCACATGTTTACAACATAGGTCACCCATAATGTAGTGTATATGGGAACGATCATGAAAGTTGGTGATAGACAGGAGTGTGTAAGTGACTGGGTGTCAGTAAATGTGAATGGACCCAATTACAAGTGCCAGTCATTGTTGAACAGCGATGTAAAGATTGTGTTCACAATACCATCTGCTTGTTCTGCCAAACTATTGTGATGTAAGTTTTTTTATTGCAATAGTTGCAAGAAAACCGTTTGAGCTCCTCAAGCTAGAGACCAGTGGTACAGTGTCATAGAAGACACCAACGCACCTAGAAATAGTTCTTGTCCCTTTTATGGAGGTTTTTTTATAACCAGGGCACTGCATTGTCGTTTTCAAGTTAACAGTTATTACAAAGTAGACCCACTGGTACCTCTCATAAAGGTGTTCAATTAACAAGTGTCGCTTTGCAATGTTTTGTGAAATGAGGGCACATTGAGTTTTGCTGTCCAGTCATCCGGTACCAGCCAAAGTGCTCACACCATCGCCTCACTCTCGATTCCCGTCCAACTCGCAGTGCCTGCAAACCGTGGCCGGGGCGGCTTCAACAGGTTCCGAGGCGGCGGCCGGGGCTGGCGGGGGCGGATATACTCGTGAGCAGCCCGGGATGCTGGGGCCACACATCTTCACACAATCTCCCCCTCTTCCCTCCACCGGCGTTGCACGACGTGTGTCGCTGTCAGCATCCATCATTGTCAGCTCCCTCCCCCTTCCACATTTCTTTTTTTCTCTGTTTTTGATGTCCATGCACATACTTGCCTACCTTGCAATACCTCTCCCTCTTCTCATCCAGTTTCAGGTGTTGGAAGAGAAGAAAGGGCCAGGCAGCAGTGCAGCCAATGCCACATCTGTACAGCTGGCTTATCCTTTCCCCCCTTTTCCCTCTCTCTTTTTTAAGGCATTTAGCTGCTTCTCAGCAGGGAGTGGATACTGTGCAGCAGGTTTTATTGAGCATTGGCAATGCTTTTTGCGAGGCAGTCCTAGTTAAGCGAGTTACCCGCTCTCCTAAACTATCGATTCGCCTCTGCACGCAGCAAATTTTTCGTCTAAAGGTAAATGTGTGTTACTTTCGCGGCATTGACATGCTGTTACTCGACGTTAGTGTTATTAAAATCGTGCTGCACTTTCTTTTTAATTTTATTCTTGTGAGGCCCATCAAAGCTCGTATGTACATTTTTTAGAAAGTCTTTTCTCGGCTGACCCTTGTCGTGGTTTCACAGAGGGACCGACATGTGCGACTGTTGCAGTTGTGCAACCAATACCAGTTTTTCACACCACGGTTGCACTGCTCGGAGAGGCTATTCTTTGTAAGTGTAACGTGAAGTGTAAATATTGTAAGTTGTGTGTGCCAGCATTGCTTGAAAAGAATGTTTCAGTCCTCGCATATGCTTGCCATGTTTCTTGGAGTTGTAAAAAAAAAACATTTCTCATCTTCATGGTGGCTGCATATTGCAGCCTTTTTGCAGCTTTGCCGTTGGCTGGCCGTTTAGCCAAGGCACGTCGTCATGTGCCTTGTTAATAAATTTTGTCCACTAAAATTATGTCTGGGCTCATGGTCGGTTAGAATAAGATGCAATGGGAGGAGGGGTGGGAGAGGCAACAGAACTGTGGGTGAACGATCAGCCTTCTCTAAGGTGCATGGTGGTTGAAAACGCGAGGCCGATTGTCGCAATCGTCCTGTGGGAACAGACATAGTTTCCCACAATATTTACTAGAAGGAACTCTGGCGCTAGTGTCTATGGGAGCTGCAACGCGCGGCGCTTCAGCGAGCATGGGAATGATGGGTAGTACACACATTTGTCTAAGTTTCGTACTTCTGGCCTGCCTTTGGCAGCGTGTGTGTTCGTGTGGCTTGGAGCTGTTTTCTTACGAAACAAGTATTAGCAAATGTTCAGCGGTTGCGCTTCACCATTTTATTTTTTTAGACTTGCTTTCCAAATTGGCTTACAAAGTTCGAATGCATTCAATCTTTCTTTCAAAACAAAACCAAAACGCAGCAATAAACGAAGCCGCAAGTATGATTCGCCGCCCGCAAGTAAGAAGACTAGGCAAATGTGTGTACGACCCATCATTCCCATGGTCGCTGAACGATCGCAGCGCCAGAGTGCCCTCTAGTTAATTTTGAGAAATTCTATGGGAACAGATACACAGAAAACGCCATCTGTTGGTCAGTGTTGTTTGCCAACGCCAGAAACAAGGGAAGCTTCCTTGGTTTGTAAAAGGCTGTAACAAAACATGTAATGCTTCCGAGCTCAAAGTGGATGGCTAGTTTGTACGATATCTGAATAAAGCGTTTTTAATTAAGCCCAACACTGCGTTGCCTCGTTTTAAAGAATGAGCCCTTGTAGTAGCGTGCTCTTGTAAAGTGTAATGCTTTTATTGTGGTAGTTTCTGTGTTTAATTTCTCAGCTCAAAAGTTCCATTTAACATGACAAAAATAACTTTCTTATCCCTTCATTAACAAAGAAACTTCACAGTTTGTACTGGAAAATATCCTGGCATATCGACTGTATCTTCGCGATGCAGAATCCGTATCAGTATGTATTTAGTGCCCACTTGAACAATGCTAAGAATGCATTTTCTGCACAAGCTTGCAAAGATTAGAACTGCAATTTACCCAAAGACAGCTTTAAGTTATTTATGAATAAAAAAATTTTTTCTATGTTTGGGTTGTTGTGCTGCTGATTGTAAAATCATACATGCCATGATTGTAAGAATGTGGGAAATAGGCATGCTGTTCAAGTAATTCTAGGCAAGCTACAAAATGTTCGCTTTTTTTTTTTTAATTCGAGGTTTTGTTACATGTCACTACGCAGACTTCTCATTCATTTTGGATCGGGTGCGTCCTTTGCGTATCCGAGTTCTTGAAGTGCCGCCTTTATTGCCTTGTACACCATAGGATCCTCAATTGTGACTGGGATCTGCAAGAAAAAAACGAGATAACGCTCGTGAGGTCTCTCACCATCCTTACATGCAAGCAGAATGTGTTGTGTTGGCCTCTTTACTTCGTGCCCTTCTAACAAGCATTGCACACTCAATCCCTGTGAAGAAATTTGGGGATTGAGGGCCTATTTTTTTTTTAAGAGGCCCTGCAACATGTTTTGAGCATGGTCAGAAAATTCGGTAGTGAAGGCTCCTGAGAACACGCAAGCCATACGATATATTATAGCGCAGCATGCGGCCTAGAATTCACAATAAATTATCAGTTGGAAATTGATTTCTTTCCCACAACAAATGACGGAAAACGCTCAAAAATCGCTCATAGGCCATCTATCAGCCATTGACCAATTTGAACGTAACGCTCTCTGTCGTTGCACAGATTCCCACGGGAGGCCGCGATTTGTCCACACGTGTGCGCGCAATTACACTGAAAGATTCTTGTATTCGAAGATGTTCAGGGTCACGAGGCGCACGTGACATATTTTCTTTGTCTCTGCCATTGCTCTTTGCTTAGCTTCCAGCGCTTTTGTCAAAACGAAGAGAGAATGCGATCGCAGCATGCAACAAATCTACCTGTACTGGACGGATTCTTGAAATTTTCGCGAAGTTGAATTCGTTAGCCAATAAGCTCTTAGTGAAATTATTCTATAGTTACTTCTTTTTGTTTATTGTTATTTGTTTTTAAGGCTATTCAATGTGCAAGCTGACATTTACAACTCAATGTTTTTTTTTTTTTTAATTAAGAACAATTTTCTTGCCCCGCCGCGGTGGTCTAGTGGCTAAGGTACTCGGCTGCTGACCCGCCGCTCGCGGGATCGAATCCCAGCTGCGGCGGCTGCACTTCTGATGGAGGCGGAATGTTGTAGGCCCGTGTGCTCAGATTTGGGTGCACGTTAAAGAACCCCAGGTGATCGAAATTTCTGGAGCCCTCCACTACGGCGTCTCTCATAATAATATCGTGGTTTTGGGACTTTAAACCCCACAAATCAATCAATATCAATCAACAATTTTATTAAATAGCCCGTAATCTCGCACCACGACCTAGTGGTCTGCCACTTGAATGTGCCTTTTCTTGACAAAGTCTGGACAAACTTGAAGTACTTGCCAAGATAAACCGCTAGTCTCAGAGTAAATTTCGTTAATGCAATGCAAAAATCCTTGAAATGTGCTACTGTTGGCTAGGACATAAAATTAGTCTTGTTAGTAGTTCCGTTCCAGTGTAATGGTGCCACAGAGTGTGACTGATAATGCTTGCAGGACACTAAGGCTCTTAGCTCTATTTAGGCCTTGTAAGGCTTACTATCAACACAAGCATGCCTCCCTTGTATCTCTTTCTGTAAACATTCTGTGCAATATTCCTGGTTAACTTTGGACTTTATATGTTAACTACAGTGATGACTCAGTATAATTGTGATTGTTTCATTTAGGGTGCCTAAGGAATCATTTCAATGGCTTTGTAGGTGTCGCTAAAAGTCATAGTGTAATAGATGCAAAAAATTCAAAATCGGGGATTGAGCCATAATCAACCTAGGTATTCTGCTGGGCATTTGGGTATTCTGTCACAGAGCCACTGTAGTGCTAAGATCTGTCTTGAAAAATTACCCATATAAGTGTCGTGTAGCAACTGCGCATTGCATTGCGTGTATACTGCAACGAGTGAGTGGTTTAAAGGCCCACCCATTCGTTGTAAAATGCTCCGGTATAACCGATATCTTCAGCCATAGCATCGGCAAAGGGCAACTTGTGTGTATGCATTGTCTTACGGATGTGTAGTGTGAACTTCTCTGATATGAAAAATGATGAATTACAGCGTATAATGGGCGCATTGCAACTGCGCTTGCAGTAGGCATTCTAGGAGAGCTTTAAAATGATCAATGCTACATGCACAGACTTTTCTCGTGGCGCGGTTGACGTCTCCACTGTTGAGCGATTAAGGAAGCAGTGTTAACGAGGCCCAGTGACACTGTTGCATTCAAGGCGAAGCTCAAGCATCCTCCAAGCAGTTTGCTACGAAGAAAAATGTTGAAGGTGTGAGTTATGATAAGGTTGGGTGGGTATAGTTGCACACCATAACCACTGGATTCGCAAGTCAAGGGGTTGATCCCTGCAACGATGGTTGTCTTCCAGTGCAGGCGAAATGGTGGACGCCCGTGTACTGTGTGATGTCAGTGCACATTAAACAACGCCAGATGGTTGAAATTTTTACAGCCCTCCACTTCGGTGTGCCTCGTCTTCACTTGTGGTGTTGGCATGTTATGCCTCAGATGTCATATTACCATAATTAGCATGCACTAGGAGGTCATTCGCACTTACTGGAGGTGCATGCCTTCGCATGCACCACCAGTAGATAGAAACTAGAAAAGTAAAATGGGAAATTATGGCGATCTTAATCTTAGACTGTGGAGAAGTTAATTTCATTGTAACGGCACAGTTTCCATCACCCAAATGTATGAACTGCATAAGCCTGTTTAAGTGTATGCTTCCTTTGGCGAGCTTCCACTTGAAAGTAGCACAATAAGCATTTTTGTGAAGCAGTAGCTAATGTAGACATCACGTAGTGAAGCCAGGAAAATCATAAGGACAATATTTACCACTTTTAGCGGTAGTGTAGTAATTAACATACAAACAAAAAAATGTGGACAAATGTACCGTTTTCCACCGAAACGAGCATTTTTTTGAATGCCATCAAGTTCCCATTCATGTCATATTGGAGTGTCTGTTTTTCTGCAAACTCTTTTACGGTAGTCTTGTAACGACTTATAGTAAATCCGGGTTTCCATAACCGCAAATGTAAGAGGTCTGATAGATGTTGCCATGTGGCATAGCTGATGTGAACCAGACAAGTACAGAATTGTTATTCTCTACGTGTCTGAATTCTAAATTTATATTGTCAAGATATCAATATTATTGCCTGGTAAACTGGTATGTCACTAATCACAGTGCTTCAGTTAAAACAATAATGCCTTTTTTGTTCCATTGGGCTGTGTCTAACAAAAACAGTTTTCGTTCCTTCCCCTTCAGTCTATTCGAAACCGTATTATCTTAAACCGGTGTGTAGTGCGCACCTTCACGGCTTTCCCTCGTGCCAAGTCCGAGATAGTTTTCCGGGGTATCTTGCCAGATCGCGTCTTGGGGAGTGCAGGCACTCGGGTGCAGAGGCTGAAGGCAGCTACAGGCCCGACGTCGTTCCGCACCTTCTCGACCACCTCTTTGCGTATCTTCTCCAGCAGCTCCGATTTGTCTGCGCAGGGTCGAATTGGCTCACAGTTAACAGTGGTTCATAGTACACAGGGTCGAATTGGCTCACAGTTAACAGTGGTTCATAGTACAGAGTGTCGAATTGGCTCACAGTTAACAGTGGTTCATAGTACTTGCGATATTTCATTGCGACATGGTGACATGAATATGTGCGGATGTGAAAAAACGCCAACATTTTTTTTTTTTTTTCATATTCTGCTATGGCCGAAGTAAGTCATTCGCAACGCACAATCGGATTACAATCGTACAAGTCTGTGCCTTTTCCTCAACGGAGGATCATCCAAGCTTGCAATTAGTGGGTTGGCACTCCAGACTTACGTGACCCAGAGAGCCGGTGTCTCTTCCTCCGAAAAGTGCAGCAGAGTTCTTGAGTAAGACTAATTCTTTAGTTGCGAAGGTGATCATTTGCTTCGCTTCGGTTGCCAAGCTCGGTGCTTCTCAGGAGTTATGCATTTGTATTCAAGCACTGTTTGAGAAAAAGCTCATTTTGTGAAAGAAATTACGAGTTAAATGCTGTACTTCTCCCAAGCAGTGCTTTTTTTTTTTTTTTTTTTCACAACACTGAGCCATCAGAGCTTAGCTGCAGCAGTGAATTAAAAGCCTAACTCTGAAGGACGGTGGCAAGATTTTTCTAAAGAGAAACAACGAATCGGTTTAGACTGACAAATTGTACTCTGGGGAAGCTAATGTTGTGAATTTCCCCATCATATGTGTACGATACCGGAGAAAGTAAGAGGATAAAGTTCTATTTTTTAAAAGAATTTCGCGTCAAAATATCCACGCGTTAAGTCGCTGATTATAAAGTTTATTTATCCTATTTGGTGCCATTGGCTCACAAAGATTCCTCTGGCTTGTGGTGTCAAATATATGGCTCCCTCGAAACACTTCATTTTCAGCGCTTAGGATCTACTTAGGCCCTTTAAAACACGTGACGTCACTGCGAATGTTGCGGAAACTCCAAAGTGGCGTCGCCATTATGCTTTCTGTGCGTTTTCTCGCTTCCCAAATGTATTCTCGCAACGAGCGCGCAGTTTTCGGTATCGAGAAAAAGTTAGAAGAAAAGTTGTTTAGCTCCTTAATGTCTTTTTAAGGGGGGGGGGGGGGGGGTGCTCTTACGACCAGTGAGGTCTGAATACGCTCTTTAGAGGGCAAAGCACACAGGTGAAAACATTAGAACTGTTCAAGAAGTTGAAGATACTTATCCGTGCTTTATGATCCCGTGAAATTTAGTCTAGGTTCAGTTTCTGCATTTGGCACTTTCAAAAAAAAAAAAAGGGGGGGGGGGGGGCCTCGTGAGTGTATCTATAATTCAATTCACTGTTCAATCGTACTGGCTGCTGACGTCACGCAACTTTTCTCAAATAACGCTGCTCGACGTTGTCAGACGAGGTGGCCGAGTGGTTAAGGCGTTGGACTGCTAATCCAATGGGCTCTGCCCGCGTGGGTTCGAATCCCATCCTCGTCGTAAAGTACGTGGTGTATTGTTTTTGTTTTTTTTTAATAATCCTGTTTGTCTATAAATTTTTTGTGACCGTAGTAGTATGGCGATAGTTATAGCGCGAGAACAAAACGAAGACACAGAGACAAGGAGGACACGAAGGACGTCTCCGTGTCGTCGTTTTGTTCTCGCGCTATAACTATCGCCATGCCATACCAACTAGCCCAAGCTGCCACACTTTGTAGTAGTAGCGCGTGCGTAAACCTGCGACCGTTGGACCACCATTTTCGTGTAACCTATGATATCATGGGCCATATCATGATACCGTACGGTGAAGCCAGCCTCTCGGCTGGCTTCACCGTACCTTTCTTCACCATACCTTTCTTTCCGCCATACGGTGAAGCCAGCCTCTCGGCTGGCTTCACCGTATGGCGGAAAGAAAGGTATGGTCACTCGAACGTTGCAGGGACTGCACATCGAGACTGGGCTGGCTGCAGTGGCGTAACTAGATAGGACGGCGCCCAGGGCAAATATATTTCCGCGCCCCTCATTATGCCCGTGATAATGTTTGTTATTATTATTATTATTAATAATAATAATAATAATAATATTATTATTATTATTAATAATAATAATAATATTATTAATAATAATTATTACTACAGCTCCTATTAATAATAATATTATTATTATTAATAATAATAATATTATTATTAATAATAATTATTACTACAGCCCCCCCCCCCCATTAAAAGCGCTAATGTAGGCTTCCGCGATTGCCTACTGGCGCGCGGCGGGCCATTTCGGAGGCCAAGGGCCACCAGTTCTGATTTCGATGAGCTACGCCCGCGTTTTTGTATAGTATTTTTCTTTTTTTATTCAAACTTCCGGAAGTCCCTTACCCGTCATTGTTCTCTTCCAGTCCACACTGCAAAAATCTTGACGGCACGGGCGCTTCCCAGGCCCAAGTTTCTCGTACCTAAGCTTTCGCGCTATTTGTGCATCCCAAGGAATGCAGGGTGAGTACAAAACAAAGCAACCAGCTAGACACCGCGCCATCGGGTCTGGTATGGGGGTTAAACTGGTCGGAGTGTTCTGCCGTTTCGCTCCGTTCGCTGTTCCATTGATGGAGGTCATCCTTGTGCGGCCGCATTCTTTCAGGGAAGTTCTTGGTTTCTCCAACGTACGAAGCGGGGCAGTCGGCACATGCTGTCGGGTACACTACGCTCTGCGCTTTTTTCGCAGGTGCGTGTTCTTTGGGCCAAAGGATGAACCTGCCCATGGCGGTGGATGGCATGTGGGAAACGTTGACCCCCGCCCTTCTATTGCTTTGCTGGCGCCCGCGATGCAGGGAATCAACAAACGTCGCCGTCGTGTCACGCTTTCTCCGTCTTTCCTCCAGAGAACTCTGCGAATAAACGCCTTTGTTTAGCCTTTGGTGCCGAGGTCACGGATTATATTCGCCCTTCCTTCCGCCGCTGCGTGGACGATTAGTCGTTGGACGATCGGCTATTTCGTTGGAGTTTTCTGTTCTTACTCAAAAAAGGTGCATTCGAACTTTTTTATTTTATTTTGTTTACGTACGTGGTTGGTTTCAGGGAAGCTTTCAGTAAGTGGTTTGGGAGGCTGGTGGGGTTCGCTGAAACTCATCTAACCCAGTGCTGCGGAGCACAAAACAAAGCTTAGCCGAGGGTCATGGGAAGGCACGGAGGTAGCGCAGCAAAATGAAAATAGAGGATCCTTTTCCCGATGCAAAAGCCATTGCGGCAACCCTTTCCTTCACCACCATCCCCACTTCCAGTCGTACATTACAACCTCGCCCCTCCCCCCTTCCAGGCGGTTTTACGGAAAAAAACATTGACAACCTTTCCAGGGGGCGCCAACCCGAGGACTCGGCTTGGCGCCCCCTCCCTAGTGGCGCCCGGGGCACTTGTACCCCCTTGCCCCCCCCTAGTTACGCCACTGGCTGGCTGGCACGCCCGCCTAGCCTCGATGTCGCGCAGGTGTGCGCAAGCGGGGGGGGGGGGGGGGGGGGGCGGCACAACTGTGTTTTCAAAATTTTTACCTGCCCATCTTTTGCACCCCAGCTGAAATGTGAAACGGCTAGCTCGGCGGTCATAGGGAGCGTACATAGGGAATCTCTTTGAAGATGGGACCTAGGTACTTGCTAGGGAGAAAGTGTACTGTAGCCTTCGCTGCAACCGCTTCAACAGCTGGCACCGTGGTCACGCTTGAATGTCGGTAAAGTGGTTTGTGTAATTATCGGTCCAACTATATGGGACCTAATGTACCGCAGCGCTGTTAGTGTTCGTGAAATTTCATGAAAACAACGCGGTTGAGCGCGATGACCCACATTCCGAAAGCCACGTGCAGATCTCCCTAGGACTGAAAGCTTCCTGACGACCGCCGCTTTAATTCCCTTGCATTTCAAAAAAAACGATTTATTCTAAATGAACTACTAATTAAGTACGACAATATTAATTATTGTTAAGCGCCTCGTGCTTTCTGTATTCGTTTTACGAGCAACGTCCATCGTTCTTAACGCCCAGAGCGTGCAGTATTCTAGAAACATCTAGAGTACTGCCCCACTCAACGAAAAGAAAATGTCAATCGTGACATTCATCAGTAGCCACATGGTTAACGTTTCACCTTTTTTATGATTTTTTTATATTGCCATCACATATGCGCATGCGCGCCTGGCTATATTTGACCGGGGAAATTAAGGGATGTCGACTGCAATTCCACATTCCTTGTCGAATTTTCTTTTTTTTTTGCTTTTGCATTGTATTGTTTAAGGAACTAAAAGCAAAAAGAGCCGACGTTACCAGAAATTGGAGAAGAGACCTTATGCCATGGGCTTAGCCTGAATTTTTTTTTTTTTCAATTGGCGTAACCATCACGTCTGTGGATGCAAAATCAATAGATAAAAGTTGTCTTGAGCAAGTTGGTTTTTTCCGTACCATCATTCTTGGGGAGCCAGTCGAATGATGAGCCAAAGCACTCGCACCAAAGCTATTAACGCGACAGCGTTAAAGAGCTCGTTTTGAATCTCCTTTACCCTCCGTGCATGCTTCGTTTCCAGCGTACTTTGCCTCTCTGCAGAGTGTCTGCGTCTTGTGAAGGCTGCTGTTTTTTTTTTGTTTTTTTTTTCAATTGCATTGCATGCTACGTGACCAATGCATGCATGTACAGTTGCTAATAGCGTTCCGGATACACTTTACAGGAAAGAAAGAAAAAAAAACAATATTTACGACGAGGATGGGATTCGAACCCACGCGGGCAGAGCCCATTGGATTAGCAGTCCAACGCCTTAACCACTCGGCCACCTCGTCACACGTCAACTGACACTTGCGAGGCCTAGAACGAAATGAGCTTGTGTAAGTTGTAAAAATCTTAGAATTGTACACGTGAGTTTATGGAATATATGGAAATCTGGTACATCTGCTATGTTTTGAAACGATCTGAAAGTTTGGGTTGTGCGCAATCCATGCCTTACCGCGTGGACATAGCGTGTGCAAGTTCCAGGGGGTTAATACACCCCCCCCAACCTAACACTTAGCAAAAAAATATTCTAACACTCCGCCCGCCCCCCTCAACCCGTTCTAGCACACCCCAACCCTCCAACATTAAAGAATAAAAAAAAATAGAAATTCACGGCAAACCCTGCAAAAAGAAGTGGTCTCGTATTAGAGGGCCGATGGTCTCGCGAGTACATTGTGCTCAAGGGAACAGGGCATTCGGATCATGCCCACGTATACTGAGCAACTTGCACAAAAGATAATTGCTCTGCAAAGCATTCTCGGCTTTGGCCATCCCGGCGAGTCAGTTTCATTTCGAAGATTTCCTTTGTAGTCCTAAGACTCCCTTGGCGCCACTTGTGCACGCAACAAGTGGTGTGCAAATAAATCGTAATCGGCCAATGGGTGGTGCAAGTGTGATCAGGAGAGCCATACGCTCAGGCGTGCGCAAGGGGGGAGGCACACGCACCCTACTCTTATTCACAAAAGGGAGTGGGGGGGGGCGCAAAGTCAGCTCTATACACTGATCACTTCGCCCTCCCCCTCTCCCCATTATAAGTGGAATCTGTTTCACGCCTATGTTTACACGCGTAATACAAGAACGTCCGCCCCTGCAAAAACACTCGTGTGCTGTTGATTGAACATTAAGGAAACACCAGGCATTAAAATATACTCCCGGAGTGCCCTACCCGCCCCCTCCCTCTCTCTCCTTATACACCGTGCCTCAAAATCTAATCGTGGTTTTCACTCGCAAAACCCCAGAAGTTTTGAGAGTAAGAAAATCTGCGCACCAGAATCATTTTGCAGCTATTATAATTATGCTATCGAATGTTGTGAAACCGGCACAAATATATCATGTGCACCGTATCTTTTTTTTTTTCAGAATAATGCAGTGTAATTTTGAAAATGACCGAACCACTTGCCTTTTTGTCGGAGTACATATTGAATCACACAATTTGCAGACTCACCGTACCATATGCATGGTGAGGAGTGCTTATTAAATGTGCCTTGAATCGACATACCCACAAAAATAGCCACTCTAATATGTGAACTAGTATATTCTGCCATCCCCTCGGTATTCGTGTTTTTGACGCCACAGTCCTCGGCTTTATCTCGTGAGGTTATCTACTCCCACAATCTATTTTGCATTATTCGTTTCTGTTTACAACCGCTACTCTAGACCTATGCTTCCCATCTTAGACGATTATCTGATGGTTGCGCATGGTGTGCACGTCGGTATTTCTCCCATTATACAAATGTGCTTACACAAATGTCGTCGCCTGCTTTTTTTTTTTTTTAGATGCGGAGGCATCTTATACTCGCGCCTTGTAGTGCGCCGCCCGGCCGTCTGCGCCGTCCGCACCGCTTCTCGAACATTCGACAGCTGACGCGCGCGCATGCGCCATCGCGCCGTCGCCCACTCTTCCACCATCTGTGCATCCCTTCCTCCTCTACACACCGCGCGTGCTTCACTCCTCCACCATCTGTGCACCCTTCCTCTTCTACACACCGCGTTCGACATCTACAATTCTCCTGATTCTCCAGTGGACGCGCATGTGGCGTCGCGCTTCGAGAACATTCAACAGCTGACAGTGCATGCGCCGTCGAGCTGTATATATACTCAAGGTCGGCGCTCGCTCGCTCAGTTGCCGCTCGTCGGTTGGTTTGTACGGCGCGTCGACGTCCAAGGTCGCAGTGAAATGAATTCCAACGAATCCACAAACACAATGATCGACGTCCCTTCGACCAGCGCCGCCCTTTCGCATACGTGTGTACGTGTTCACTCATTTAACACCCCCTCCTAAAACCACGTTAACCAATTTAGCCATCGACCCAAGTAAGTCGCAATTTAACACCCCATTTCACAACCACGTTAACCAATTTAGCCATCGACCCAAGTAAGTCGCACTTTAACACCCCGTTAACCAAATATATGCTCCGCATCCTCCTCAGTGTTCCCCCGAGGGAAGCTGCGGGCAATTTTTTCATCTGCAGCAGACATAGACTTGCGGATCAGCCTTTTGTAAATTAAGATTAGCGATGAGGAAGGAAACAAGGCTGGGAGGGAATGCCACGTGGTACCGCTGGCCTCGGCAAACCAACATCATCTGACGCAGCCCCTCCGCCCTCCGGTGTCCCACAGCTCGGCGCCGCAACAGACGCTCCCAAATTGTGAGCCAACATATACTGTGCTTGCAATCGCCTGACTAGCAAGTGTTTCTCCTTTAAAACGTTTTTCACGTCTACATTCGGATACAACTTGATCAGTCTGCGACATTTCCCTTTTATAAGCGGATGCGCACAAACCTGCACCAATGGGCGCGCACTCCAGAATGACGTCATGAGCCGGACATCCGGTAACCCCGCCCTCGAAAAACACTGTAGAGTGAACGAGATGGGGTTAATCCTTTAGGTGCGCTGCGCCGCCTATTGGCTGCCGCTCGTCGGTCGCCTGGGTCGGGGCCTCTCTGGACTTCTTGAAGTCAATTTTACCCGACTGTGCCTCTACTGTAGGTATTCACTGTGCTCTTCCCGCTAGGCGGCGCCACCGAGTGCGCCGCCATAGCCGTGGTCCATCAGTGATACGCGGCCTATGACAGCGTGATTTTTGGTAGTGCTGCGCCGCACTGACCCGTTTTCCTAGAAAAGCATAACACGTGCTGCTGAAAACTTTGGTTGTGGTCCGATGATAATGTTTGCACGCGAGACCTCAAGTATGGTGGCTGCCGCACTAGCGCCGCTTGCATCACGTGAGTACCTCCTATATTGTAGGACACCGGTGTATCAGGGGCAGCGCCAGGATTATTCAATTGGAGAGAGGGGGGAACACGACGAATGAGCTCATTCAGGGCGTTGGGAGGCGAAGAACTTATGCGCGTTGCGTTTAAAATATACTCCTTCTTAGGGAGAGCAAGCGCAAAATTTTTGGGACCCCTCACTGGAGGGGTCCCAAACGTCTGATACAAAAGCCTGCAGTCTGATGCACCGCCCTGTATCAGACTGCAGGTTAAATGTCACGTGACGTTCCTTCTTTCCTCCTCCATGCAGAATAGCATGCGAGATGTGCGTCATGTTTACCGTCTTTGAGCACGAAGAGGGCGAGCGGAACCTCTCCCTTGATCGGGTCCGGAACGCCGACGACTGCGCACTCCGCTACGCCGTCGTGCTTCATGATGGCCTTCGCGTCGTCACGTTCGGGCAGGCGCGTTCATGCGAGGAAAGCGCAAAAATGTCAAGATCATTGCGCACGTAGTTGCTTATTGTCCGCAATTTACGCGACTGCTAATCGACTGGTATGATTCCGTTGCGTCCGCACAACAAGTTACTTCAACAGCGATATTGATTGGGGCATGTAATAGTGCATGGTTCATTAAGTTCACCTAAACATATCTTAAACAGAACCAGAATATATAGAAGTGATTGTTCATTCAGTTTTGTTGAACTGCATATCTACGTGTCTAACTTCAAAAAAAAAAAACAACTGAATTTTGCTTTTGCTTTGCGGAAATGTACAAACCAATGCTGTTTCTCCTTTTTTTCGTTTTTACTTTTTCTAAGAGGACAGCCGAATGAATACAATAAGATTCCGGCTAGTTTTGTGGAATTCACGATGTGAGAATTTTTCACAGATGCCTTTGAAATGTACTTCGGAAACCATACAGCCTGTATGTTAGATTATGAAATGTTACATTGTAAAATGTTATTTAAATTACGTTATAAATGTATATTATATTTACTATGAATCTGTTTATTTTGCTTCTGTTAATGCTCCTGTATACTTATTTATTTTCGATGAATTGTACCGCGTTACCGCAACCCTAATGTTCTTGATGTGGGGGAAGTAGTCGCAGCAGTACGCCCTTTAATACGTTCGAGTTGATTGAGGATTAAGTGCGGTATAATTCACTCAATAGGGTGGACTTTACTGGCTATTTGCAGTGAGGTATCAATTTTCGCGTGCTCTCTCGCTTACAGACCCGAAATAGTTATAGCCAAAGCAGTGCGAGACTCCTACCTCCTCAATCTGTGACGTCGACAGGCGGTGTCCGGCGACATTGATGACGTCATCGCTCCTCGAAAAGATGCTCACGTAGCCGTTCTTATGTAACATGCCGGTGTCCATAGTGTCGTAGTAGCCCTGTTGGAGACGGATGCCGATATAGAAATTCGACACAGGCGCGCCCTTAGTCCCGTATACGTAAATTGGAAGCAACTGCAAGCACGCATGATTGCCAACCTCACCGGGTATTTTTCGAAGTACTTGACGACGAATACGTCATCCGCTCTGAACAGAGTCGACATCGATCCCGGCGGCATCGGTAATCTACGGAAGAATCGTAAAAACCACAAATTCACGTCAACCACGGAAATATACCACGCTTCTCATATCTACCGCGCTCTTTAAAAGCTTGTTTAAAAGCGTTTGTGAAAGTTGCTTGAGCTGAATTTAACCATGTGACCGACATTTATTGCGAAATGATCTTCACAACTTCACTCAGTTATTCATTCTGTTACAATTCATGATATTCTATTATGTTAATGTTGACTTTGTCTTCTCCAGAGCGCATTCTGAGGTTTAATTAACTAACTGTCGTACACGTTTTAAAAAAAATACAGATACTGCAGGGCTTAATTCTTCACTCCGACGCAGTATAGTCGGTATGATCTACAGAACAAGTGTCACAGAACGAGCGCTAAAAATGGGCGCGCCGCCAAATTCTTGCCGTTTTAACGCGCGGAAAAGACGCCGGGAGGTCAAAAGAAAAAAAAGAAAACAAACATCCAAGGCTCCCAGGGCGCGCGCTCTCCCCTTGGAAGCGTGGCTTCGCCGACGAACCTCCTCACCCCACATCGGCGGCCGAGATAGGCCGCGAAAGTTCTAGAACGAAATAGGCATGGTCATACCGAGCTGAGTCATCTGCCGCGGAGGGCGTTCCAACCGTCTCGCCCTCTTCCCAGCCTTCGCTGCGTATCGCGCCGACGAAATGACGAGAACCGTCTGGAATGTCGCGCGCAAGGTATTTAAACGAGCAGCCGAGATGAGAGATCAGGAGAAGACGGAGTTAGCGCCAGAGTGCGTAGGGATCCCGCCGTGTAGTCGGCGAAGGTTTTGTCAGTAGGGACGAAGCAGGAGATGAAGAGGATTTCCACCTGAGGGGTGAAGGCTCGAGCTACAGGCAAGAGCGTGTGTCTACCGCTATCGAGCGAGGACGCGTGGCAACAGCTGCGTGTGTGAAGCCGACGTGTTCGGGCGAAGGAGTTTGAAGCTTGGAGAGTGGCCAATTGAAGGCGCGAGGTTTCCTGGAAGAGAAACTTCGAGGGCGCGAAAGGACAACAACGCTGGACTTTGAGTGAGTGATTCTCGGAAGAGTATCATCCAGACTTTTGTTCCAAGAACTTTGGACTGGATAGGTTTCTATCTCTTTAGTCTTTAAGTGTCTTGGTTGTTCAATGCATGCGACTGCATTGTAGAGCGTATCGTTCGTTGTCTATGTCTGTTGTTTTGAGTGTGGCTGATTGTACTGTGTAGTACGTTGTTTGATTGGTGACGTATTGTATGTAACTATTGTGGAGTGTGCATACGTGTGTATTGTTTTTGATCTGCCGTTAATGAGAATATAATTTTGTTTGTTTATCAACTCTCGGCTCTGACTTGTTCTTTGGACCACAGCCGGCGTCCGCTGGCGCGCCAAAAAGGACCACTTCTAAATTGTCCACGCTTTCGTGGTGCGGTTCGGGGGGCCGATACTTCGACCCTTGGAATTAGCCCGGCGATTGCCTCCGTAATAAAAGGGACATGTGTGACAATTAATCTGGCGTCCGCGACAGGACCTTTTGGTGCACAGTGTGTCCAAAGTAGTGAGAAAGAGCCTCGAGTTGTTGATAGTGCTATCGGAACGATTTGGTTTGTTGTTCAGTGTTCTCGTAACGAGTGCAGGGGAGTGTTCCGATAGACTGATTTACTTTTTGCACGCGGCAAGGTCTTATTTGCGAGATACAATGAATCTCGAAAAGCTAGTTGCTCTTGGTGAGAAGATGGGTCTTTCTGGCGCCGAACTACGGAAGTGGGTAAGCCAGAAGGAGAAAGAGGCGGTGGAGAGAGAGAGGTTGGCAGCTGAGAGAGCCAAGGGAGAAAAAGCAGCTGAGTTGGAGCGAGAGAGGTTGGCAGCTGAAAGGGCGAAAGAAGAAAGACAGGCAAAGGAGCGACAGCTGAAAGAAGAAAGAGAGCAGCAGTTGAAGTTGGAGCTGGAGAGAGAAAAGCTGGCCGCTGAGAGGGCGAGAGAAGAAAGAGAGGCAAAGGAGCGACAGCTGAAAGAAGAAAGAGAGCAGCAATTGAAGTTGGAGTTGGAGAGAAAAATTGGCAGCCGAAAGGGCGAGAGAAGAAAGAGAAGCGGAGATGGCTGAAAGGGAACGGCAGCGGCAGCACGAGATGGAACTCGAGCGGCTCCGGTTGCAACAGTGAAGTGAAACTCCCGTCCAACCTAGAGTTGAAAGTAGCGAACGGGAAGATCATGGCTTCCGCTTGAACCCAAGCAAGCTGCTCGTGGCGTTTGATGAAAGGAAGGACGACCTTGACGCGTACCTTCACCGATTCGAGACGATTGCGAAGAGCCAGAATTGGCCGGAACATCAATGGGCAACTGCTTTGAGTACTTGCTTGAGTGGTGAAGCGCTCAGTGTGTACGGTAGGCTGACGCCGACCGATGCAGCCAACTATGCAAAGGTGAAAGCTGCTTTGCTGAAGCGATTTAGATTTACTGTAGAAGGATTCCGGGACAGATTTCGGACAGGAAAGCCAGCTGATGGTGAGACGGCTACGCAGTATGCCGCCCGACTTTGTCATTATTTCGACAGATGGATTGAACTTTCAGGGACAGCGCAGGAGTACGATGAGCTTAGAGAGCTCCTAATTAGAGAACAATTTCTTACTAGTTGCCACCCATGCCTGTCGCTGTACTTGAAAGAGAGGAAGGCTGAGTCACTCGAAGGAATGCTTGAATTGGCTGATCAATTCTTGGAAGCGCAAGGTGGCACTAATTTGGCCAAGGTCAAGAAGGATTGTCCCGATGATTCGAAGAAATTGGCTCCCGAAGAAAAGAAGCGTGCACCAGAGAGCATTCCGCGATGTTTTCTGTGCAACCGAGTGGGTCATCGCGCGAAAAACTGTCGAACGATCTTTACGAGCCCTACGGCAGTAAAATGTTTCAAGTGTGGTCAGACTGGGCACAAAGCAGACGCTTGTCGGAACGGAGTGAGTCAAACTCACCAGGTATCTTGTGTGCAAGCGGCACCAAAATCTGATAATAATGCCGTCACCGATGGATTCGTAGAGTTGAAGAATGGGGAGAAAATTCCTATTGTGGGTGCTGTAATGTCAAAACAGCCAACCGGTGTTATGAAGGGAATGCCAACGCTGCCTGGAAAGGTTGCAGGCAAGAAGATTACGGTTCTAAGAGACACCGGTAGCTCCACGGTTATCGTGCGGAGAAATTTGGTACGGGAAAGTGAGTTGACAGGCAGAACGAAACCGGTTTGCCTAATTGACCGTACGATTCGGATGCTTCCCGAAGCAGAGATTGAGGTGGAAACCCCGTACTTCAGCGGAAAGGTTACTGCTTTATGCATGACGACCCCACTTTACCACCTTGTCATCGGAAACATCGCCGGGGCGCGAGGACCGAATGATCCGGAATGTTTGGGAGAAGACCCTAAGATAGAGCCCTCGCCAACCCAGCGACCGCGAGATACAGTGGAGGAGCATCCCGTGACGGATCGCACTCGAGCCCAAGGTGAAGCCGCGGCGCAAGAGACAGCGAATGAGAAGACGATCGTGTTGAATGAGTTCACGCGCTGGGCAGCTGGACGTACGTCGGCACGACCCCAACCGACCGACAGTGTAAAGTAGACGGAGTCAGCCAGCCAGGCCAAATGTAGAGACATGAACAAGCTGGTAAATAAACCGACCGGACCCGTCGAACCTCATGACCCGTTAGCAGGGTCGGAAGTGACAACGATGACTGAGACGCTGCCTCAGATACCGTCGTTGGAAAAGGCTCGCCGAAAAAGAACAAGGAAAAACAAGAAGAGATCGAGCGAGCACCGCAAGAAAGGACGCAAGCGCAGCTCGAAATACACAAGATAGGTGCTGAGGTCAAATCAGAATGTGTTTGGCAGTGCTGAGTGCCATATGTTGTGTTAATGTTGTGTTATCCTGTGTCACAAGTGTCGAAGTGCCTGTGCTGGGATGTGATGTATAGTGTTGTCTGATTGTTGTAATGAGAGAACTTTGTACGTTTGTATTGTTTGGAATGTGTGATGAAGTGTTGTAGTCATGTACCTGTGGCTATATTTCATGTGTTGTGGAATTGAACTACAATGTATGATTGTATTGAGCGATCTATTGCGAATGTGAAGTGTCATGAGCGACGGTTTGTGTTAGTCTTTCAGAGTGTGTGGTGACTGTTCGCGCTCGTTTGTGTGATTTTGAATATTATGAGATAATATTCTTAAAGTGGGGGGCAGTGTCACAGAACGAGCGCTGAAAATGGGCGCGCCGCCAAATTCTTGCCGTAACGCGCGGAAAAGAGCGCGGAAAAGACGCCGGGAGGTCAAAAGAAAAAAAAGAAAACAAACATCCAAGGCTCCCCGGGCGCGCGCTCTCCCCTTGGAAGCGTGGCTTCGCCGACGAACCTCCTCACCCCACATCGGCGGCCGAGATAGGCCGCGAAAGTTCTAGAACGAAATAGGCGTGGTCATACCGAGCTGAGTCATCTGCCGCGGAGGGCGTTCCAACCGTCTCGCCCTCTTCCCAGCCTTCGCTGCGTATCGCGCCGACGAAATGACGAGAACCGTCTGGAATGTCACGCGCAAGGTATTTAAACGAGCAGCCGAGATGAGAGATCAGGAGAAGACGGAGTTAGCGCCAGAGTGCGTAGGGATCCCGCCGTGTAGTCGGCGAAGGTTTTGTCCGTAGGGACGAAGCAGGAGATGAAGAGGATTTCCACCTGAGGGGTGAAGGCTCGAGCTACAGGCAAGAGCGTGTGTCTACCGCTATCGAGCGAGGACGCGTGGCAACAGCTGCGTGTGTGAAGCCGATGTGTTCGGGCGAAGAAGTTTGAAGCTTGGAGAGTGGCCATTTGAAGGCGTGAGGTTTCCTGGAAGAGAAACTTCGAGGGCGCGAAACGACAACAACCCTGGACTTTGAGTGAGTGATTCTCGGAAGAGTATCATCCAGACTTTTGTTCCAAGAACTTTGGACTGGATAGGTTTCTATCTCTTTAGTCTTTAAGTGTCTTGGTTGTTCAATGCATGCGACTGCATTGTAGAGCGTATCGTTCGTTGTCTATGTCTGTTGTTTTGAGTGTGGCTGATTGTACTGTGTAGTACGTTGTTTGATTGGTGACGTATTGTATGTAACTATTGTGGAGTGTGCATACGTGTGTATTGTTTTTGATCTGCCGTTAATGAGAATATAATTTTGTTTGTTTATCAACTCTCGGCTCTGACTTGTTCTTTGGACCACAGCCGGCGTCCGCTGGCGCGCCAAAAAGGACCACTTCTAAATTGTCCACGCTTTCGTGGTGCGGTTCGGGGGGCCGATACTTCGACCCTTGGAATTAGCCCGGTGATTGCCTCCCTAATAAAAGGGACATGTGTGACAACAAGTTAAGGCAGATAAAGAAAACAGAACGGAAAGTTCAAGGAACCAGAGTATAAGTAATTTCTCGTAAGAACAAAACTTTTTTTCTTGACTTCATGTTAGCATCTCGAGTTACCTGCTCCGTAATTAAATGACATAGCAAACCAGAAATACTGATGTAAAATGAGAGAATGTCCTGCTGTTTTAAAGTGTTACAGATAACGCATACAAATGCCTTATGATCATTAGTTGAGCAGAAAATTACTTTAAGTCGTCTTAATCTATGAGTTCGAGAGGCGATATCGCGTGTAATTATTTCTGAAGATACGACACCAGTTTCAAGAAATACGTTCCCAAAGTGCGAGACAACGTATTGCGTTCAATTTCTTCTGCATTCACTGAGAAAACACAGCGCTTAGTCATATGCACTGTGGTAAATATATGCACCACACCGCAAGTTTGGCGGGCAAAAATCGACGCTGCTGCCATCCTCGGAATCCTAATATGTGCCACAAGCTCACACGGCCGCATTTCGTAAGTCTCGTAATAAGTAAAAAAAAATGCAGCCAATCCTAATCCTGAACTTAGGTTTATACATGGTCATAATAGTGACACTCGTATGGCGGCGTTCGTGCTCTCTGGTTTATTATTTTATTCATTTACCGCTGGTGGTACACAAAGCTCGGAGGCGCGCTTCGACGTGTTCATTGTCACGCTAGATATGGCGCGAAGGGCGTCATTTAAAGCAAAGCTGCTATATCATGTTTTGGTTTGAGAACTGCAATTTAGACGCTAATGTGTGTTCCGCGTGCTGTCAAAGCGGATCACAGAGGCCACATAAAAAGGAACGCGTGGGTGAGATCTGCATCGCCAGGTGGCGCTACGACTGCGGCTGCTCACAAAAAAAAGTGTGTGCCTGTTCACTGCACTCATTCAATGGTTAATTATACTGACAGTTAATTGGCCATTCTCTTGTGATTGGATAGCATATGCATCGAATATAACCCTTAACATCAAACATTCATTTCTTACTCTTTTTGTTTTCTAAAATCAATTTTTGTTTTCTAAACCAAGCAAGTGCTCAATTGGAAGTGCTTAGGAGAGAAACAGGAGAGTGTTACTCATTGCGTGTGTCACTAAAAATAACAGGAAAAATAATAAATTATACTAAAGTGTGTGTAGCGAATCTCGAATTTCGGTACATGACGTAACGTATGCCTCGAGCACAAAGACTTGAACACGTGCTATCTGCCACAGACGATTCAACATTTTTTTGTTCCGCTGGAAAAAAAATCTATGCATATTCGTCGTAACTCTTGCAAAGGAGGAGTGACCTACTTCAGAGGCTAAATGTAATCAACTGTAGGTGATCGACGACCATCCCACGTTTAAGTTAGCACTCGTGGCCGACGAGTTGTTTACCAAGGAAAAAGTAATCTTAGCATGATACTTTGAACGTTAATTCAAATTGGTTATTTTTAGGGAGAAAGAGTGATAGCGTGAATAAATAATTAACTTATTAACTAAATTTATTTCTATTTAAAAGGGAAGGGCCAATGGGATAGAGCGTGGACCGGAAGGAGCTACTGCATGGTCTCCTCTAAACAGCCCACAGCAAAGTTTTTGAAGCAACACAACCAACAGATCTCATGCCTTCAAAAGCTTTAGTTCTTCATGCATAGCTACGCTTACAAACTCCCATTCACTGGTGGATCAATACTTATTAAAAGCACGTGCCTGATCAAAGACAAAAGTGACCGTTGGTCTCTATACGAGCACATATATGATGCAAAAAAAAGACGCCTCCTCATGATGACGTCCCCACATGACGTCATCGATCGCAAAAACTCGTGACATATATCATATGTCGCTATGATTTTGCATGACGACGTCATCGCATGACATCGCGAGACGCGGAAAACTTTCGGGGGGGGGGGGGATCGATACAATTGACGGAGATGAAAAAAAAAGTGTATGATGTGTTTTGCTTTCGGGTCATGTATATATAAGGTACCGTGTGGACTTTTCATTCAGTTTTTCTAATACGTTGTCCTGTTAGTCCTTCGGTACACCTGCTCCATTACAGATGAAGCAGCAGCAGTTATCCGATTCCAGATATATGCACGTTCTGAAATGTTTCACCCACGTAAGGCACTGAAATGTCCCGTGTACACATTTTTTTTTTACCGTAAAAGGTGGCCAGCTCAAACCACACACGCAGTGCGCAAAAAAAGCCTCAGTTGAAGAACGTCAAATCAGCATTCCCTCACGGTGACCGGAGATTCAATCGGTGGCCGCGTTTGGCATATGCTAGCCTCGTATTTTCCATGCTTTACCTGACGAGCAACAGACATGCCGATATATTACAGGGGCGCCGTTTACATCACCATTGGCGGGGATCAGCCATAATACCGAAGTATTGCGCTGACAAATATACTGTAACGGACATGCGAAAGGCAGGAAGACGAAGAAGAAGGGAAAGACGAAGGGCTTCGCAAGACCGCAGTCCGCTACCACGAACGACCATCGTTCACATATTGTAAATGAAATCATTTCGTCACAACTCGCTGTAACAATATTGATTATATACATCGATCGCTAAAACTTGTGAACGTCATCGTTCAGGCAAGCTTTTCGACACCAGCGAAAAGTGGGTGGCTTTTTAGACATAGGCTCGGGCGTACACTGTCGTCCTTTATGAAAGGGAACACGCGAACGCGTGGCCTGCACTCTGCGGCGGCTGCCTACAGCACCATCAACCGACAGGTGAAGAAAACACGTTCGCTTTTTCGCTTTTGGCGTCATCTATTGCCAAGCAAGATAACGAGTCATGGCCGGTGAACAAGCACTGCGAGATCACGTTCCCTCATCACTGGCGCGGCGAGCTATATCGGATGATTACTGCAGCTTTCGCCGTGGTCGCGCGCAACGTTTGGTATGTTGGCAGTGGGCTACGCACTGCAGGCGTCAGCGGAGAGGGAGTGCGATCTAGCAGCTTGTATACTGGCCATAACTCGTTATTTTTATTTTTTGGCAACAGATGACGCTGAAAGCGAGCCTGTTTTCTCTTGACGTTGGTTGATGGGGCTGTAAGCAGCCGCCGCAGAGCGCAGGCCACGCGTTGGCGCGTTCTTAAAGGACGACAGTTTACATGGCTCTATGCACTCGTGCGTTTGTCCTATCTTATTTTTTAATCCACGTTGTAGGGCGTAGGCCGCACTGGCGCAAAGAAAAAGAGAGAAAAAAGTGCTATAGGTCACTTGCTAAATACCGAAACACCGGACGCAACAGTTCAATATCACAATCGATATCAAGTTCATTTCCTTCAGTTCTCCCGTAACCTGCCGCATCCGTCATTCATAACTGTCGCAAAATAAAACGGCTCAAACAAGGAAAACTTGATTTGTCCGTATAAAAAAATATCGACCGTAACCCTCGATACCGCGCAATTCATTGACCGATAACAGTGCCAAAACCTTAAGCGTGATTAGCCTAAAAATACTGCTAGATATTTATTTATTTATTTATTTATTTATATACGAACCTATTTATTTAGTAGAGCCATCGAGTCAAGAAGACATTACAAAGGGCAGTGACGCATATGACTATAAAATGTATTGAGAATTACACTAAACAGACCGTGAATTAAACTAATTACAATTATGTACAGCGCGGTGTAAAGGCCAGACATTAGTGCACGTGAGTTTTAACAACAAGAATACAATTTCGTGATGTACAGTGCCAGCAGTTATGATAGTCAAGTGAATTGGTGATCTTTTAACACTATACACGCAAGAATTGAAATGAGCAACATGTCTTCAAAGTTTTGCATTTGACAAAGTGTCATACAGTATATACGTAAAGAAATGCTTCTAAAAATAAAATAGCACGTTAAAGAACCCCAGGTGGTCAAAATATCCGGAGCCCTCCACTACGGCGTCTCTCATAATCATATGGTGGTTTTGGGACGTTAGACCCCACAAATCAATCAATCAATCAAATAAAAATAAAATAAAAACATTAATTCAAGGTGTGTTCACCACAGCGAGTCTAAACCTTGTAGCGCTCTACAAAAAGAGTTTACCTAATGGCCACGTTACCCAGCTGATTCGGAGCCGCTTCCAGGCCGTCTTCCAACAGAACCTTCACTACAGGGGAAAAAGGCAAAAAAAGAAAGACAAACATTGGTTGCATCACCGTTTATTTGGTTAAACTATGCCATGTGTGATAACCAATTCCTTCTTTTACGCCGCTGATTCTGATAATTCTGTTAATTTCCCGTTTGACGGGAAGGATTTTATGCAAGACAAAGGAGCTCTTGTCGGTATCATAATTCTTTATGCAGCTTGCATAACTCTCAGCGCAAGTATAGGACACAAAAATCAAGAAAGTACACAAGTGCTATTCAACAACTGAAAGCTTAATGAAAAAAAAAGTACGTGACATATATGAACAGAAAAAAAGGCACCAACAAAACCTGATCTACCCCCACCCAAGCTGACGTTTTACATGTACAACATACGAGATTAGATGCGGGGGGCGGAGGGGGTAGATAAGGTGTTGTTAGTGCCTTCTTTTCTGTTCATATACGCCACGTTTTTTTTTTTTTTTCATTAGGCTTTCAGTTGTTCGACAGAACTTGTGTCGTGTACTTTTTTTAGTTTTGTATCCTACTTGCGCTGACAGTCATAACTATGTTACGATTGAGTTACCCAATTTGTTACACTACTTTGTGCAGCTTGTAGCTATTCTGCAGAGTGCAGAACCGTAAAGTATTAACAGAACGCGTTTTTTTAGCCGTACCATTCCATCCGGGAACTGGTAGACCCGTTGCTTCATCTGGAACCTGCGTCGTGTTGCCCAGACCCACGCACGTAGCAGTCACAGGAGAACCAGTCTCTGCAGATTTATAATGGGAGAGAACAAAGGGAAGAATTCGAAGCACGCCTTCGCATCAATAGTATTCACACAACCTGCGCTCAGATGTAATTGCTTAGTATTGATTAATGTAAACAATTTACTTAATATCAATAATTCCTCAGTAACAGTATCAATGCACTGCGCTGATATAAGATAGTGCATTAGAAAAAGACAATTTTTCAAATTTTTGATTACACATCAGGGGCTTAGCCAGGGAGTGGAACACCGGGCATGTGTCCCCCCCTCCCAAATTTTTTTTTCGCCATAGCATAGAGAGCGAAAAATGGCCATTTTAAGAAGGTTCCCCTCCCAAAATCAAAGTGGTCCCCCGCTCTCCCCTCCCGAAAAAAATTTCTGGCTGTACGTCTGTTCGACATACACACACACTGCAATCGTTATGCATTTCCAACGATACAAACCCATCTCCTGTAAAATGGAGATAATTTTTTGAAGTAGGCTTCACCCCAAAAAGTCTATTATTGTGGCAAAGCTATCTCTCACAAACAGCTGCTCACCATGCGGCACTGGAAGCTTCAGAGGCCCTCTGCTCGCAGCGGATGGGCGTAGGCTCGGAAAATGTCACGCTCGTGTTGTCTATCAAACTTTAGATAGCTGTTTGCTCCTACAACACATTCTATATGCGACTGTCCTTATAATATACGAAGATGATCGCTGGCAGTTGGTCTAACTTACCTCGACCTCATATTAGGCCCGTTTACATTGACCCGATGAGGGCGCGTTGAGTCGAAATAAACAGGTTTTCTGGACTCGCCCTCCCCATGTATAAGCGGACGCGTCGGGGCGTAGAGTCGTCGCGGCGAAGTCCCGTCGACCCGGAGACAGGGGGTAGGTTGACCGAACTCGCCGCGCTTCCCCTGTCCCCATCACTCCGACGTGATGGGGACAGGGGAAGCGACCATCTACGATTACACTATAAAAAGTAATGGTATGTCACTTTACTGCACTATTCATTTTGGGAACCAATTTTCTAAAGAAAATTTTAATTTCTTAAATATGGTGGCAGTTAGGTTGCGACGAAACTTCGAAAAAGTGAAATATTATACGCAGCACGGTAAAACGATTCCAGTCGGTAGGAAAAGAACCGCATTTCCTTGTTAAAACGCATTCACCACTAGTGTATGTTAATGTGCTTTGCGGGGAAGCAATGCAGTGTTCTTGACCAAAGTCAGAAATTTTTACAGCTTTTCAACTTTTCCAGAGACAACGCAGCTGCACAGCTTGCTTGCATTGTTGACGGTAAGTGGGGGAAAAACACGAGTCGCGAAGACAGTAGTTTGGAAGCGCTGGCACATGAACTTTGAAAAATTTGCAATATTGCTCATGTTCAGGCACTTATCGGTCTGTGTGGCGCTCCATATAAAAATATACACTTTGGATCATTTCAAAGGGTGCAGAAACGATATTTATTTCTGTAAGTTTAATACGAATCTTTGTTTTACGCGACAAAATATTATTTATATTGAGCTGCCCCCAAGACTGTCAACGGCGGACCGTAAGCGCACTTCACTGCACCGAGGGTTCCTCGGCAGCCTCCTAAATGCACCAAAGCCGGCTTGTTGGTTCGTGCTCCATTTTCCTGCGCTTACCGCCAGTAATAGAAACAAATTATGCAGCTGCAGTATCTCATAAAAAGTTGTAAGAGCTGTAAAAATGTTTAAATATCGCCCAAGAACAACGCATTGCTTCCCCTAAAAGAACATCTTGAGACAACCTAGTAGCTGTGAACGCGTTGTGCCAAGAAAACGCTGTGTTCTTCCTAGCTACGAGTTTTTTTCACAACCTAGTTATTGGGCGCTGCCACGATATTTAAATTGCTCTGAGAGTTAGAAAAAATTTCCTCCGAAAACTGGTCTCAAAACAAAAATGGAAGACGGGCCTTCGGCGAGCCGGAAGACGGGCTTTCGGCTCGCCCCGACGCAAAGCGTCGCTGCGATCACCGCTCACCTCAACTCGTCCGTGCGAGTTCATATAAACTCGGGCGCGTCGAGGTAAGCTGAACCCGCCACTCAACTCAGCCCGCCCCCGTCGCGTCCATGTACACGGGGCTATTGATGTCCGCGTAGATACCATTTCAGAAATTCCTCCTCAGCAGCCATAGCAGTTCAGAGTGACGAATATGTTGTTAATCTTATGAAGGACGTCAGCTTCATCTAAGGCGCTATGGACTAATTGAGTTTACCGTGACTGATGAGTGACGCCGCATATCGCTCAAGACCGACCGACTTTAATGTTGTGTATGCGCTTCCCGTCCCTCTCTTTCGAACTCCACAGTCTTTCCGCACAGTAGGGTAGCGTACCTGTGATTCCGAATTCGTCAACCTAATTGTATTTTCCCTTTCTTAGTTCCTCGCACTATACTCGATCTAAGACGGCACCTTTTATAAATGTGCACGTTTTGAAGCGAGGCCTATCAGCAAACTTTTCAGGACGTGGCTGACAGCGTGTGTTGCTGCTGTGCCGCAGAATAGATCACAAGCACAAAACAAAATATTGCGATCACGCGTATTACATAGTCATCGAACTTACGCCTTTCTACAAAGTAACCCAGTTTTCAAAGGCCTCGGATACAATTTGTTTCCTTTATTGGTCTTTATTGCACAAATTTCACGTACGGCTCTGATACGCTCTCATTTCCTCCCACTAAGCATCACGAATCACGTGAGCGTCTACAAGATTTTGCGGTACAAAAAAAAAGACATACCTCAATATGTCGTCACAAGCACTTCCATCGTAGAGCATGCTTCACTATATTGCACAAAAAAGCATAATGTGCACCAGTCTACCCTTTTTACGATACTACTTAATATGGTGTACCCGTGCATCCGATTGAACAGAATAGGTATCGAATCGTATACTGCGCTTGCGTGCATTCACCTGTCTGCCACCAGTTGTCGAGAGTGGGTACTCCGAACGCCTTCTCGGCCCACCGGAGGGTCTCCTGGTCGCATCGCTCTCCGGCCAGGAACAGGTACCGCAGCCTAGGAGAGTGTCTCGGCTCTTGAAAGATGCAACCTCTCGCGCCTATACTATCCTCCCTCTATTACGAAACCTACTTCCCCACACCCCAACCAAGCACGTCTGCTCAACAATCGTGGCACGACTGCCTCGTGATCGTCCTCATGTGACTCTTGAGATAGATAGCATGTACAGGTAAGGAAAGATGCTTGGGAATCCTCTATTTATTAAAAGTTTATGTTGTGTGCACGGAACTTGGGAGAGCTGTGGTTCTGTTCTGCGCAATTCTCCGTCACTGATTTGCCATATTCGGCAAGCGTGCGGTGCTAGTTGTCGATTAATTCGCACTTGCGCTGCCAACTGCTTGCTTCTGGTTTATAGCTCGATTGAAAGAGCGACCGCATCACAAGAGTGGAAGCTTGGGCTAGTTGGTGCGTAGTCATATTTGCAAGATGTTTCAGCGCGCGAACAAAGGAAAAAGGACAGGGTAGACAGAAAGTCTTTCTGTCTACCCTGTCCTTTTTCCTTTGTTCGCGCGCTGAAACATCTTGCAAATATAAGCGACCGCATCGGAAAGACGATGGTCCCGGGTTCGAGTAACTGGAACTAAAAAGCCTTTCTTCAGGAAAATTTGTGTGGCTTTACGCGTAGTTTTTTTTTTGCTACAAGCAAGTTGACGGCAGTTTCCTTTTTTATGACGTAATATTGAAGACTCAAAAACGCAGCTAATGTCGCTTTTTTCGTAGGGCTTCGGCTATTGAAAGACACTTGGAGGCCGCATGGGAGCTCAAACGCCATTTAAGTTTATTTCCAACAAGTTAAGGGTGATTCAGCGCATTGCATTCTGCGAAGGTCGAGGGTTCGAATCATGACAAGAGTGGTCGAATTTAGCTGGAGATGAAACGTGCAAATGCTCATGTGTGCTCGAGTGAGCGTTAACAGATCAACGTGGCCGAAATTCATCTGGAGGCATTCATTGCTGGCCGGCGTGCAAACTTCGCAACTAAGAACAAATGCTCTCATTTTTTACATACGTCGCGTTTATATCTTAAAGATCTGTAATTTGTGTTATTTTTATTCAAACGTAGTCGTTCGGAAACTTGCAGTCTTGCTATGGCTACAATTCCTGGTTGCGTTTTCGTGATGACCATCTTGTTCAAATAACAGAACATATCTGGTTAGTTTGGTGCACCATGGTATTTGCTTCACGGCGATCCTTACTTGTATCACTTGTTATGCGTAGCAGTTGAGCTGTTCTTAGAACACTACGACGGTATGGAATGTAAGAGACAGAACCGCGGCACTGCGTGCCTACACGTACTTCTTTCCAGGAAACTTCTTTCCCATCTGTCCTTCGGGATCCTGCGAGCAAGAAACGAACAAGCGGCCAGATCGAACCGGTCACGACTGAACGAGCGTCGGGAACGCACCTCTTTACGGATGACCCTCATGGCCGTGGGCGCGCTGAACATGCCGCACACGCCGTGCTCGCTCACCACCCGGAAGAAGCTGCTCGCGTCCGGAGTGCCCACGGGCTTGCCCTGCACGCAACGACATACATACGTACGTACATACATACATACATACATACATACATACATACATACATACATACATACATACATACATACATACATACATACATACATACATACATACATACATACATACATACATACATACATACATACATACATACTTAATACATACGTACGTACGTACGTACGTGCGTACGAACCTGATTTTTATCATCATGTCATCAACGCTTATTTGGCGCAGCCCAAAGAGAATTATGGTGGCGCTGAGAGAACCGTCTGTGGGAAGGTCTACTTCTGAAACGCCAGGCAGAATCTTCTTTGTCAATCAAATCTTATACGGTTATGTAAAGACGTCATAGGTGACGTTTCCGTCCAGGTCGCGTGGTTCCCACATGTCACGACAATCGAAAGTTTCGCTATTGCGCTCTTAAGAATGTGAAAACAACGCCGTAGCCTGTAGCTGCGCTCATAAGCGTTGTAACGGAACAAGCGCGTCATATGTGAGGCATACGTCCGCGTACCTCGTAGAGGACTGTGGTGATTCCCTTGAGCAGGGGCGCGTAGCAGATGTACGAGTGGCCGACCACCCAGCCAAGGTCCGAGGCGGCCCACCACACGTCGTCATCCTTGACGCCGTACACCTTCTCCAGAGTGTACAGCAGGTTGACCGCGTGGCCGCCCGCCGGCCGGACGACGGCCTGTGTGTAGTAATAGGAGCGTCATCGCATACACGAGTCAGTTGAGTCGTGCCCACCTGTTGGTTGTTGATGCATATACATCGCTACATTGTAATGCGTAGAAAAAATGTTTCATTGGACGAGTTTATGACTTGCGAAGAAAAAAACCGCAGCTAAAAAGGAACAAGTACGACACGAGAACGCCAGTCCTGTGTTCTCCTGACGTCTCTGTTCCTTTTACGCTACCTTTTATACTCGTAGTGCTAATTCTGCGTAGTGCTAATTCTGACGAAGTGCTAATTCTGCATAGCGTATGCAGTCTCGGCAGAGCGGTATCGATCTGTATTCAACATCGTCACTTTTTAAGACGAACATGTGTCCTAAACCTTTTCATCGCTCATACGAATAATTTTTTTGTTCAATGTATGTCAAACAGTTTTGGAAATATACAATGGGCCCCTTAGAAAGAAAAAAGAACGCGGTTACTCTGTAAGGTGATGTGCTTTCTTCAACGTGGGCGCACACACTCTGTAGAGTACAGGCCGAACAAGCATTCAATCAAGCAAGCGCACCGACAAAGAAAGATCGGTTTCTTTTCCTTTACAGCTTATTCAGCATGTTGTCACTACAAGTCAATGCTCTCTTATTGAACGAAAACCATATCCAACTAACGAACTAAGCTCGCTATGTCTATATACAAATAACATTCCATGTATTTTTTCCAGTAAGTTCTATTTTCATTGTTCCATCGCTGTCGTCACCCCTTTTTTAGGGGCGAAGCTCCTTAGGGCGTGGGCTGTGCGTCCCCTGTAGCCTGTATGTAGCCACCTCTAGTTTAGTTCTTGCAGTGTTCACTAGATGGCGGTACCATCCCCTGCATGTAGCCACCTCTAGTTTAGTTCTTGCAGTGTTCACTAGATGGCGGTACCGTCTCCTGTATGTAGCCACCTCTCGTTTAGTTCTTGAAGTGCTTACTAGATGGTGGTACTTGTAGCTGATGATGAAAAGATGCAAGATGTGATAAACTAGAAAGCGGTACTTGTAGTTGATGAAAGACGCGAGATCTTATAAAATAGGAATGATGTCACATATGGCGCGTGTCATTGGTTGAAGGCAATCGTTCGATTTAGTGCGGCGACGTACGCTAGGGGGAGCGGAGAATATGCAGCCATCAAACTCTTTGACTCTGGAATCGTCCTCATGACCATGTACCTCGCACCCAACCTGTCTACCGGGAACATCAAGACATTCATAGACACTGCGTTACGAAATTATGAGAACAAATACAAGAATGGACCATTTGTACTACTTGGAGACTTTAACGTGGCTATCATAGACAATAATTGACTTATCCAACATATGGCTTCTAGATATGCACTCAGACGTATATCGTTTGACCATATGAAACCTACCACGATCCGAGGAACATGCATAGACCTAGTATTTGCAAATTGCCCACTGCAACCCATACAGGAACCGCTCTCCCTTCATTTCAAAGACCACAAAGCCGTCATAATGAAGGGACATCGCAAGCCATCCATCGTCTAAGAACAAATAAAAGTTGATTTGTGTATATACACAGACAGCGTTTCTCACGTCTTTACATGATGATCGACTGGGCGAATTACACGGAAGATTCACAGTTTACCGATGAATCCCTCCGGAGCTTCGCCCATTCATCATCATTCACCCCGTGAATATGCCGTAATTTTTTTTTGATATGCAGAACATAGTGCATCTTTGGTAAATGTACATGACTTTTATTTTTTGTTTTTCCTAAATGTTCCGCGTCAGGGCGACAACATTGGTTGTATCACACGACCACATATTTTCTTGCATTATGTTGTATGTTGCTTAGAATAAATAAATAAATAAATAAGTGCAGAGGGGTCGCTGCGTAGTATATATTCCAGGAGTCTCAAACTCGCCTCGCTAGCGGGTCTGATGCAGTCAAATTTAGTCCCGCTGTAGTGGGGAGAGGAGGAGGGATGTTGACAGTTTGTGCGAAATGTCAGCATTGGCATTTCGAAAGTGGCCTTCCTCCATATCGTCTATATGGATGATTCCTAAAGGGGCAATTCGCGTTGGAATACGAACGACACATTCCGATCTCCCAGAATTACTAAAATCTGGACCGTCGATTCTGATATAGACTTTTTGTTTCGCCGTTATTTCTCGGCATGGTAACCTCGTGGTTTGTGTTACGAAAAAAAAAAGAATCTTGAGACCAGTCACATCTCAAAAACTTATATAGATACCTTATTAAGTAAATTAAAAAAAACATGGCCGATCCCCCTGTCTTGGGAATTAGTATAACACGAAACTGAAGCGTGTCTTCACGGGAGTCGTTTGGCGTTTATTGTGCTCTATTTCGCCACAAGGGCGAATTAATGAATGCTATAGCAACAAATTGTAATATCTCGCAAAGGACGGCAAGCAGCTCGAAACTTGCAGCGCGCTCCTCAAACAGAAATGATGCACGAAGAGGACATACATAGGATCAGCGCAGACAAACTACTGTCACAGTTCAACATTTCAAACGCTGTATAGTCAACACAAAGAGGGGATGCGTGAAACGAACGTGCAAGTATATACAGGACGAATGCGAACTATACAGCGGTCACAGTTGTCCCTTCGCTGCGTCTTAGCAGCACGCTTCTTTAGAGAACGTGGCAGCTGCGGTGAACGAAGTGGCGTTCGTGCGCTCTGCAACTTCAAGCAAACTGGCGGCGAAAGCACAAAACGTACAAACCACCTCCATCACGAGATAAGTGAGCGAGCACGAGCGACCATGCTATAGTAGAGGCGCGTGCGCAGCGATGCGCGGGGCAGTGACCTCTAAAGCGCGCCCTTCACGCCATCTCGCTAGCAATAATAAAAACACGCAGAAGACACCAAGCTCTGAGGCAACGGTAAATGGTGCATATAAATAGCTGGCCGTTAGTAAGCTGGCAAGCATACGCTCTGTCTCCGAGTCTATTCGCGCCGCGCGTTGTTAAGCGAGGGGTCGTATATGTTCGACTCCCGGTGAAGGAACATTTTTTTATAGTTCTTTACTGGCCATCTCTCAGTGTCCATTTCACAATGTCATATCCCTGACGGAAAGACGTCAGTGTAGTGGTGGTGTACCCCGGCGTAAAACAGCTTTGTGTTAAAATAGGACGAATACAGTCATGTGTGGCCGGGACTCCGAGGGTCGGCGTGTTTGGGACCCCTGGTATATTGTGATGACAACATCCCACAGCGCGCACCTTGGGTAGACCTGTGGTTCCGGAGGTGTAGAGGATGTAGAGAGGCTCCATGGCCTCGACGGGCACGCAGTCGGCGGGTTCCGCCAAGTCCACGGCGTGCTGCCACACCTCGTCGCGACCGGGAGTCATGGCAATGTCGTCCTGCGAGGGTACGTCCCGAATTAGGAAGACGGGCAGCCACAAAATATAGCGTACAGGGGCGGGCTACGCGCCGAAATCACCGCAAACTGTCGAAATAGGGTGTCAGGCCTCCTCCGCGTGGGTTTCCTGGCAGAGGCATGCCAGGCCCATACCCTCCCCCCCCCCCCTTCTGAATTTTTTTGACATGTATACATAGCGTAAAATGACCATTTGCCTGCCCGGCCCTTCCTTTAAATCAACCCCCCCCCCCCTGCAAAAAGGTTTCTGCGTACAATCCTGGCCCATAGGGTCAATGTGTAAAAGTGCTAAACTTCTGAAAGAGTTTGAGAGATACGAGGAGTCTCAACGCAAAAATAATTCATTGCCATCATCATCTCTTGTGGTTACTGCAGGATGGAGGCATCTCTCGAGAATTGCCGACCTACACTGTGCAGTGCGAAATAATTCTAATTTACGCCAACAATCTTTTAAATTTCATTCTTCCAGCAACCTCTTTGTCGTACCCGACAACCCCTCACTTCCTTCCGTGTTCTTTCCGATGTTCAGTTGACCATCGATTATTCGGCCCTGTCGCGAAATGACCTTCTCAGGTGCAATTTTTATATTCTTAAGATATATTAGGAATGATATCGGCTACCCCTATTTTTTCTGTGATAATCTCGGCTGTATTGCTATTTCTAGGAGTTAAAAGAGCCCTGCAACACTTTTCACCGATAGGCCGTTTGTCACATGGTAATCATCGTGTCACAAAGACACAGGCACGCAGGTACAAAATAGGGCGTTTACTTTCGCAACCCAAGGGCCAGAAAAGCTAACACCAGAGCACGCGCACACAGATCTACTTCGTTGTCCTCTTCAGATGCTGGCTACTATAGTTGCCAGCCTACCTTGCGTCAATTCCCCCCTTTCAAGAAAGACCGTCCCGGTCGATTGACTGAGATGCTAGAGGTGGCCATGAAAGAAAAAAAATGATCACGTCAATGAAAAAAAAAAGCCCACGCTGTTGTGGATAATAAGGAAAAAGTTCGAAGTGTTCATAAGTCGCGGGCGTGGTACGGTTTCATCCGTACTACATGGACTACTTCTGGACGTGGACGTCTTCGGTTTAAACTGGTGTCGGAGCTTTGGGGAACTACCTCGTAATTCACGTCACTGAGGCAGCGCACAACTTCGTAAGGGCCAAAGTAGCGCCGCAATAGCTTCTCCGAAAGCCCACGATGTCGAACTGGTGTCCACACCATACATAGTCACCTGGTTGATAGTGGACGCTCCTTCGGCCTTGGCTGTAACGGCGAGCGTCGATATCTTGCTGCGCGCGAATGTGGTTCCGTGCAAGCTGGCGGGCTCCCTCGGCTTTCTCAACGAAGTCGTCAACGCTGTCATTTCCGCTGTTGTCCTGGTCTACGGGGAGCATAGCGTCTAACGGTGTTGTGACGCGACGGCCATAAACAAGCTCGAATGGTGTTAGGTCTGTGGTCTCTTGCACAGCGGTGTTATAAGCAAACGTGACGTACGGCAAAATTTCATCCCACGTTTTGTGCTCTACATCAACATACATAGATAGCATGTCGGCCAATGTTTTGTTTAACCTCTCCGTCAAGCCGTTTGTTTGGGGATGATAAGCTGTTGTTTTCCGGTGGTTGGTGTGCGTCAGCTTGGTGACTTGTTTCAATAACTCTGCCGTAAATGCTGCTCCGCGATCGGTTATGAGAACAGCAGAAGCACCATGGTGCAAAACAATGTCGTGGACAAAGAATCTGGCGACTTCAACTGCAGTTCCCTTGGGCACAGCTTTGGTTTCCGCATAGCGAGTCAGATAGTCGGTCGCGACAATTATCCACTTATTTTCTGAGGATGACGTAGGGAAGGGACCAAGAAGATCCATTCCTACTTGCTGAAATGGTGCTCGAGGTGGATCTAAAGGTTGGAGGAAACCGGCGGTCTTTGCGGATGGAACTTTACGCCTCTGACAGTCACGGCAGGTGCGGACATAGCGCTGAACGGACGAATACAGCTGTGGCCAGTAGTACTTCTGTCGGATGCGCGCTAATGTCCTAGCAAAGCCTAAGTGACCGGCCGAAGGATCGTCGTGGCACGCCTGCAAAACTTCCTCACGCAGTGCCATTGTAACGGCGAGGAGGAAAGTTTCCTGGCTGCTCTCAAGATTTCTCTTGTAGAGAACATTGTTTCGCAGGCAATACGTAGTCAAACCACGCGAGAGTCGGCGTGGGACGATAACGTCTTCTCCTTGAAGATGCTGGATGACAGGAAGTAGCTCATTGTCCTCACGTTGAAGCTCAGCCATCCGCACCACATCAACGATGCCAAGAAACGGTAAATCTTGTTCAGTGTCAGATGACGTCGGGGAAATAGGAGTACGAGACAGGCAGTCAGCATCTGTATGCTTATGTCCTGATCGGTAGACCACCGTTATGTCGTACTCTTGAAGGCGGAGGCTCCAGCGGGTGAGGCGGCCTGATGGATCCCGTAGATTGGCAAGCCAACAGAGCGAATGGTGGTCACTGACCGCTCGAAATGGCCGGCCGTATAGGTAGGGTCGAAACTTGCTAATGGCCCAAACGACTGCTAGGCACTCTTTTTCGGTGGTAGAGTAATTAGCCTCTGCTTTTGTGAGACTGCGGCTCGCGTAAGCGATCACATGCTCTGCGCCGTTCTGCCATTGAACTAGAATGGCTCCGATTCCCACGTTGCTGGCGTCTGTGTGGATCTCGGTGTCGGCAGTGTTGTCGAAATGTGCCAGCACTGGAGCTGTCTGCAGTCGATTGCGCAGCTCTACGAAGGCTTGTTGTTGTTCTTCCGTCCATACGAAAGGTACATCTGGCCGTGTCAGTCTTGTAAGAGGTTCCGCAATTTTCGAAAATCCTTCGACAAAACGGCGGTAGTACGCACAGAGTCCGAGGAATCGCTGAACAGCCTTTTTGTCTCCAGGACGAGGGAAATCGGCAACGTCAGCCAACTTCTCCGGATCTGGTCGAACACCCCCCGGGCTAACCACGTGGCCGAGAAACTTGAGTTCTTGATAGCCGAAGTAGCACTTTTCGGGCTTGATGGTAAGGTTCGCTCTCCTTATTGCAGTGAGGACACTTTTTAGCCTTGAAATATGCTCGTCAAATTTGGTTGAAAACACAACGACATCATCCAAGTATACAAGACACGTCTGCCACTTTAGTCCAGCTAGTACAGTATCCATCATGCGTTGAAACGTGGCGGGAGCGGAACAGAGACCGAAAGGCAGCACTTTAAATTCATACAGCCCGTCAGGCGTCACGAACGCGGTTTTCTCGCGGTCGCCCTCGTCAACTTCAATTTGCCAGTACCCTGACTTGAGATCTAGTGATGTGAAGAACTGGGCGTGGCGTAGACGGTCTAAGGCGTCATCAATCCGTGGCAGGGGGTAAACGTCGCGTTTCGTGACTTTGTTAAGCCGTCGATAGTCGACGCAGAAGCGTAGTGTGTTGTCTTTTTTCTTTACTAAGACAACAGGTGACGCCCACGGACTTGTCGAGGGTTGGATGACGTCATCATTCAGCATTTCTTGAACTTGACGCTTAATCACCTCTCTTTCCTTCGGGGACACACGGTATGGATGTTGGCGAAGAGGCCGCGCCGACTCCTCGGTAACAATGCGGTGTTTTGTAACGGTGGTACGCTGAACTTTCGATGCTGTGGAGAAGCAGTCCGAGAATTCCCTCACAAGGTTTAGCAGGCGCTCTTTTCGTGAATCTGGCAAGTCTGGATTAACGTGAATGCGGCTTCCCAGGTCAGCACAAGCTTTTGCATGCGGTGAAGTCGTATCCAATGTGCCGATATCGAAAAAGTCGGCAATTTCACTGAGGAAAGCGACAGTAGTCCCTCTAGGAACGTGCTGAAACTCATTGCTGAAGTTGGTCAGCAGAACTCGAGAGCGTTTATTCTCTAAACGAAGAAGGCATCGGCTATGCATATGTTTCATTTGAGCAGCAGCGGGATATTTGCCTCAGCAATACCTTCATAGTCGTTGAATTCGTCAAAAACGTCGCAGGCTACCAAGGTGAACACGCTACTCTTCGGCGGTAACGTGACATCATCGTCAACAATTCTCAAAGCATTGACGTAACTGCCGTGAGGGTTGCGCGCTAAAGCGTGTGCCGTAGAAAACGTCACTTGCGACTGTTGTAAATCAATCACGGCTCCATTATCACGCAGAAAGTCCAGTCCGAGAATTAGGTCCCTCGAGCAACTCGGCAGTATTACAAAATCTCCGAGATACGTAAATCCGTGAATACTGACTCGCGCTGTGCACCGCCCCACCGGAGTAAGAAGATGGCCTCCTGCCGTATGTATCTGCGACCCAGCCCACTGGGTAGAAACCTTCTTCAGCCTGCAGGCAAGACCCACGCTCATAACAGAAGAGTCTGCTCCAGTGTCAATTAGCGCCATTACTTCTTCGTCGTCCACAGTTACCGCAATGTTTGATGTCACCACTCTTCGCATCACGTTTGACTGCGTCTGTACATCTTTTTGCTGCTGTTGCTGTCGTCGTAGTGGAGGATCTTCCGTAGAGTCAGCGTCAGCGGCCTCACCTCCGGAGGTCGCTGAACTCGGTTTTCCCGACTTGCAGGACTGGGTGAATGGCGTCTTGGAGCGCCGCGTGAATAGGCTGGGCTCGGTGACCTGTAGCGAGCAAGCGACGACGAGCGAGGCTCTTGTGACCGATGTTCGATACTGCAACGATTCGAGATGAAACTCTATTTCCTGTGGTCGCTCGCCAGGTCGTGGACGAGGGGCATTAGGCGAAAATCCACGGAGACCCACACGACGGTATGGACATGTTCGGTAGACGTGTCCGGCTTCCCCGCAGTGGAAGCAAAGGGGCCTGTGGTCGGGTGTACGCCAGATGTCACTCTTTCTCGGTCTTGCTTCGGCGATCAACGGTGAGCTGCGAGGGCGGAAGCCTACCTCCATTTGCTGAGCGTGTCGCTCATTGGGGTAAAATACGCTGGTTGAACTGCACGATGGAGAACGTCGCACTGCTTCCGCGTAGCTCATCTCGACGCAGTGCCTCTGTTGTGGCGCCTCGGATGGTTGGGGAGCGTGAACGGCTTGCCGTAGCTCGGCGCGTACCATCTCCGCAATAGAGAGCTGCTCTGCAGGAGAAGCAGTCACCTGCATCTTTTGTAGCTCTTCCTTAATGAGAGCTCTGATAAGCTCTCGCAACGCGCTGATGTCATTGCCGAGAGTGACAGAAGTGACCTCACTTGGGTTTACGCCACGGTTATACTGTCTGGCACGCTGTTGAAGGGCCCTCTCCATGGCAGTGGCTTCCTCATGGAACTCCGCAAGTGTCGCAGGCGGGTTTCGAATCAGGCCGGCAAAAATCTCTTCTTTAACACCACGCATTAGGTGGCGAACTTTCTTGGATTCGGACATAAAGGGCTCCGCACGCTTGAAAAGCCGATCCATGTCCTCTACGTAGGTCGTCACCCTTTCGTTAGGGCCTTGAACCCTTGCCTCTATAGCACGCTCCGCTGTCTCTTTCCTGTCCTCTCGGGCAAATACCTTGAGGAACTGCCGTTGAAACTCATCCTATGACGTAAGCGCTGCTTCATGGTTCTCAAACCACGTTTTCGCGGAGTCCTCCAGGAAGCAGTACACATAGCGTAGCTTACGCTCTGGGGTCCAATCGTTGATGACGGCGACCCGGTTGAAATGCTCGAGCCAGTCGTCGGCATCTTCGAAAGCAGCTCCGTGAAATGTCTTCGGCGTCTTGGGCTGGTTGATAACCAGGTGCGCTGGTGCTGGCGCGGTGACGTTAGGCGGTGTTTGATTCATAGTCCTCTGACAGTCAGGCAGCAAACCGTGCTGTGGCTCGAGTCCCTGGAGACGACGGCTGGAACGTACGTGCACAGGGGTAAGCTCGGCTGAGATACTCGATGGACTTGCGTCAGGGGTGCTCTCAGGCGACTGTATCATCTACCGTACCCAGCACTTCCACCAGAAAATGTCACAAAGACACAGGCACGCAGGTACAAAATAGGGCGTTTACTTTCGCAACCCAAGGGCCAGAAAAGCGAACACCAGAGCACGCGCACACAGATCTACTTCGTTGTCCTCTTCAGATGCTGGCTACTATAGTTGCCAGCCTACCTTGCGTCAATCGCATGGCAATCAAATGGCAATTTTATCGAGGTGACTTGTCAGCTCACGTTGCTCTATCTCATTGTTGCCTGTGAACGCGTGAGTGTTTTGTTGTTGCTTATAGCAACTAATGTGTTGCACTGCTAAGCAGCTGGATGAATGGGTGATTCCCAGCATGGTGGAAGGCAACGAGAGGGATAATTTCGCAATGCGATATAAAACGAGAAGGAAAGAAATAAGTAGTTCGTCAGGCACGAAGATACAAAGCTTCGCTTGCCCCCATTTTGATGATAAGGCTTCGGCTTCTGAATATTTTTTACCTTGATAAATGATTGCATGTCATGTATTTTTCTTTGATCCTTGCACATAACGAAATCTCTTTCCCGTCTTTCCGTACAACTTTTCTATGCCCACTTCTTACTTATAACTTTTTAAAGGAAGTTGTTCAATAAAGCGAGTGAATTTCGTTCTGCGACTTCCACTGACATATCTCCTCCATTTTCCCTGGAGCTGATATATTCGGCACTTAGTAAATATAACACGAACTACAATTCTATAAAACACTTGTAAGCGCTTGTACCTGTCATCCTGTGTTTCTAACTGCGCGCAAATAATCTTTTTTTTGATCAGCAACTATCGTGAAACAACGTTTCACTCGACCCACTCTACCGTAAGGCTGATAACTGATAGATTACATGTTTGAAGACAGCCTGAAAAAAAAAATAATACACAGGCAGGAATAATACAGGGTGGCGCGCTCGTTCGTGCCGTGTGTTGTGTTTTTTTTTCTATGTGCTTTTTTCAAACACGAATTTCCACTAACTCTCCCAACTGTTCCTGTTAATATATATATAATATAGACAGAAAGAGAGAGAGAAATATCAGTGCTAACTGACAGTGACAGGCCCGGGCTTTGCGACAGGTAGATGTGACAAATATATTCCTTTTATAGGAACACCACTAAATGACCACTTTAACACACGTGTTCTTCAGGTGGTCAATCGGTATCATTTCTAAAGTTTGCGCTTAGATTAGCAACCGCAGCTTATGCAGCGGAAAGCCAGTGGATTGCTACAGTAAAATACCGTATTTCCGTGCTTGTCAGTTTTTTTTTGTTCGTGAATGTTTGCTACAAACTGCCTTCGACCAATAACTCATAGAAATATCTTTTTGTCGCATTTACTATTTTGTACCATGCCTCGAAGTACAGGAGAATCTGAAATTCTACTTTCACCCGCCCCCTTTATTTTTAAAATTTGATTTTTTTAAATGTGACAGCACACTAAAATTTGGACACCTTCATGGGCACATAAGCGTTGTTTTGTCGTCCACATACCTTATGTGATCTCGGTTGCAGTGCAAGAATTTCTAGTTGAAGTAAGAAAATGATGATATTTGCAAAATACTATGCAAAACGTGTACGTAAAAGAAATTTTCTTAGCTATAACGCTGCTGATACAATATATCATATTTTTGTACTCACTAGCAGCCCAGATGAAATCTCGGTAGAGTTCTTTAACGAAACGTTATGTCGCCATGAATGCCGCTAGAGCTTGCTGCAGTGTCTAAAAGATTTCTCGTATTGCTGTAAATTTGAGCTTGTTACCTATGCAAGAGAATTACACCGTTGTGGTGTAGAATCTTCTTTTACCGCTGTGTTGTGGTATTATGCAGTCCCTCTTACCCTTCCCAGTTTCCCATTTGTTTGACAGCCCTCTCTTATGCGGTTCGCAGACCTGCCCTTGCTTCAGGATTCAATGTTTTGCAACACTTCCGGAAAGCTTAATCATTTTTTCTACGATTACAAATAGGTAAATCATTGAAAATCTTTGCACAAAGGAAACTGTAATCTTCGCTCGACTGCCAAGATAAGTTGTCGCCGAGCCTAGGCCTCCCTCTCAATCCCACAGCTTTCACCCACGCTCTCCCTCTCGTCAGGGCTCGCTCTCGCAGCTGGGACAGAAACTGCGGACGACGGAACTTCCACGGATTTACTTGGCCTTCAAACAGATCCGCCGTTAGAACCAAATTATTTGCTAAATAATAATTTGCACGATCTCATATAGCGCGCCTTGCCTGTCCCGGTCGTAGAAAGATGAGACACTTCTTTGGCTTGTAGTCGGATATGTTGATGGCTTCGTCCAGGATCGCCTTGTAGGGCACCGTCCTTTTTGGCTCGATGCCGAAGTTGGCCGACAGGCAGGCGTCTGCCTACGCGAACAGGACAACAAAAAAAGTTATAGTGACTACAAAATGTATAGTGACATTTTGAAGTTTGAAGTTTATTTGTTCGTTCCTATATTATTTTATCAGGAATAAAGACTCATTTATTTCTGATACATTTAATGAATAAGAACACCTACCTATCTACATTTCCTAGGTGTTAGCGAACATTTTAAAATTTCTGAAAACGAATCGAATAGCGCTTTGTTGCATTCGGGGACATGAAATGTATATTTTAAATGCTGAATAATTTTTGAATACCAACGTAAGTACCTACAAAATAAACCCCGAAGGAACAAAACGTTGTAAGAGAAAAAGATAAATAAAGCTTCTTGCTTTAATAATTGGATTTTCAAGACGCCCTACGTGAAGCAAGCGAAGTACAAGTGACGAAAGGCCCGCGCTTCACCCGGAGGTGCCACAACCAGGTTCGCACGTGAGTTTCTGGCGCCATAGTTTGAAGTTTGGGCATACTGACATGATCTGGGATCGGCTGTCGTTCGACTATACTATGTCTACGCCAAGGAAAGACCAGACACCAGTCATGAAGACCACGTTAACCCCCTAAAATCAACCAGATTTGCTGCGGCTAATGTAATCTTCTAATTTTTTTTTAAATGTTTGCCTTGGCGCCAAATATCGTATTTTGTGTAGGGACAGCGTGTATATAAACTGATGAAGTTGATCTGTGCCCCATTATTACAGAGCGACTGCTAGAGATAACATGGCTCGGGTGATAAGCGCTATTTATTTCGGACACACATGGCGCTCGCTCAGCAGCACTTCGGACCAATCAACAATGCGAAGACCACAAAACGTGGAAGAAGTGAGTTGTACGTCTTCTTTTTTTTTTACTAATCCACTCTCCTACCCTGTGCATTTGGTATATAATGCCGTTCACGTGCTTTAGCGCACGATGTGCTTCACATACAACACGGGCCTGCTTATTCCGAAGCCGCGTGGCCGTACCAAACATGGCGGATGGCTTTCCCTCGCTCTTTCATTGGCTGTCATTTCAGTGAGAGAGGGGAGAGAAGCCAATGAGAGACGGATGGAGAAGCCAATGGAGAGCCACCCTGCCGCCCCGAACCGGTCGGTGCGGGGCGGCAGGGTGGCTCGAGGATGAGCACGGCGGCGCTTACCTGCGCGTGGTTGATGCGCACGGCGAGCTCCTTGGCGGCGAACCCTCCGAAGACGAGCGAATGTATGGCGCCGATGCGCGAGCAGGCCAGCATGGCGTAGATGGTCTCCGGGATCATGGGCATGTAGATGATCACCCGGTCGCCCTTGCGAATGCCCCATTTCTTCAGGACGCCGGCCACGCGAGAGACCTGCACGAAGGGACGGGAGCAACATTACTCGTTCGGTTCACAGAGTATCCGACCCGAGAAGAGCATGCAACGTGGACATCGCGCTTCAGCAGTTGGCAATACCGATCATTATAATGTCGCAGAACGAGGAAGAAAGGAGATGTGCTATCTTCGGCTGATTTGTTCGTTGACGGAATGGTAAGGCAGCTGTAAGGTAGGGGTTTTTTTTCTTTAATGAAAGAGACGTGGATTAAATCAGTCACGCATTGGCCGATCCGTGTTCTTCCATGTGAAATGCCGTCTAATTAAGCTTGTAGCGTGAAGTAAAAGAAAATGAAGTAACAAGTTTATAAACAAATTCTCATCTCATAGATTGATACAAGTATGCGCATATATACTGCATGTTCGAGCAGCACAGTATTTTGATACTAACGCGATAGCGTTAAATAGCTTGCTTCGATGAAATTCCGGCGTTGCTGTCGGCGTCGCCGGTTGTGAGCGAAAAATCGTCATCTTTGCGTGATCGGAAAATTGAGAAAGATGCTAACAAACTAATAAAACATTCTGGGTACGAGTGGGGATCGGAGCCGGGTAGTTTGCGTGGCAAGCATGCATTCTACCACACAGCCATGCCTCGATCTGCTTGTGAATGCAGTGAAAATAACTTCCTGTGCTTGGAAACGCAGTTAAAGTACCTTGTATGCGCTCCACAAACGCGCATCCTGTATACATGCTTTACAATACCTCATGAAATATCGCCGTAATAATGCGTGGTACAAGCGTACATTGCCATCGGGCGTCGGAACAAGGGACTATCACAATGGCTTCATAGTTTAAAGCCAGTCACCCACTACAAAAGGCACACACGCACCTGCATCGTGAAGGCCATGTAGCAGGTGCATAACAAGTACGAAAAGATTTCATACACTGTGTGTATGAAGTACGCATTAGAAACAGAATATCGTTATCGCGCTCAACTCTTGAAGGAGAAGCTTAAGGGCCCCCCCCCCCAATTTTTTTCGTTAGGGGCCAGTATTGACAACGCGTCGTTCTTGCAAAAATGTTTCAATATTTATAGCCCTTTCGTGTGTTAAAGATTTCAGATGGTGAAAGCCAACGACAAACAATGTTCCCTGCAGAAGTGCAGTAAGCTTGGTCAGTTGGCACAAGTCCCTTTCGAATGCAGCGCTAGGAAACGGTGGGGCAAAGACGCAGGAATGCAAAGATTAATTCATTTGTGGGGTTTAACGTCCCAAAACCACTATATGATTATGAGAGACGCCGTAGTGGAGGGCTCCGGAAATTTCGACCACCTGGGGTTCTTTAACGTGCACCCAAATCTGAGTACACGGGCCTACAACATTTCCGCCTCCATCGGAAATGCAGCCGCCACAGCCGGGATTTGATCCCGCGACCTGCGGGTCAGCAGCCGAGTACCTTAGCCACTAGACCACCGTGGCGGGGCAAAGATACAAACAACAGCGCTTGTTTGTGGGTTCATGTCTTTACATTCCCACGTGTTTGCACCACCGTTTCTTTGCACTGCATTCGGAATTGATTCTTACCAACTGCCCAGCTTACTACACTTCTGCAAGGAGCATTGCTTTTTGTTGGCGCTGAATGTGGGGACTCGAAGAGCGCTTGTTCATGTCCTAAACCATCCTATGCGTTTGCGTCTTTCTTTTTGTGCCGTTTTATAGCGACAACTGTACTTCTCCTCTCGGTTCAAGTCCACAAGACGACCTTTTGAAAGCACTCGACTATCAAGCTCAGCCAAGGTGATTTTTCTCCTTGCACACGCGTCGTCATAGCAACGGACATGCGCAGTATCGGTTCGTTCTCCCCTAGCTCGCTCGCTTCTCCGTCGGTCGGCGAGAGCCGTCAGCCGATCAAGGCGCGGCAAAAGCTGAGGCCTTGAGACCTCAACTAAAGCCAAAAAATATAGGGGCTTTAACCTCAACTTGTGTCGCGCGACCCCTGCGCTGGAAGCACGGCTTTCAGATACCGCTGAAAACAGCGGTTGACCGGCGCCTTCCGCGGACAACACTGCCTGCTAGAGCGGCGGGCATTGCGCAACAGCAGCGGCGCATGTGAAACGAACGCGCGTCCTCCCGCCGCTCATCGCCGCGACCGCCGCCGCTCGTACGCTCGCATGTGAAACAGGCTTTAGTCGAGCGGAGGCGCCGACGCGCTAGATGCCGTCACGAGATGCATTCCTCGGTAGTTGCTGCTAATCGCTTACCAAGCATGGTTTAGCCGCGTTCAACCACCGCATTTCCGCAATACGTTCTCTGCAGTTAATGGTGTCGCTCGCCGACAGTGGGGATTAGAGTTACTCTATATGGCGCCTACCCGCGGTAGCATATACAGTAGCTTTAGGGGCGGGGGGGGGGGGGGGAGAGATATCGAAATTGGAAATGAAGGGGAAGGTGCACCACGCAACTGCGTCTTTTAGGGGAGGACGCCTCAGCAGTAGTGCACAAGAGAAATAATAAGGAGGGATTAAAAGAAACAGGAAGACTGGTGGGAGACGTTTAGAAGAGAAGCCTTGTGGACGGGGTTTCGATCAGCAAGGGGTCTTCGGAGCGTGGACGTCGCGGATGGGACAGTATCGATCGTGAGGTCCTCCGAATGATTGCAGTAATTCTATAGTGGGCACGAGGCATGCACGCGCTCCGATCAATGACTAAGATAAGTGGACATGCGCACCTGATCTTTGAGCTCCCTGTAGGTGATCTTGGCTATCACGTTGGTCACGGGGCTGTCGTATATGATGGCCACGTGGTCTCCTTTCCCGGCCGCCACGTGACGGTCGACGGCGTTGTAGCACACGCTGATCTCGCCGCCCGGGAACCTGCAGGGCACGCGTTGATGAAACCACTCTGCGACGTCATGCGATCGCAACAGCGTCATCTGCGCGGTTGAGTTAGCGAAGACACGTGGTCGCACCGATATATGCAGCTGGGTGGCTGTGCAATTGTATACTTTCTAATTAAATGTAGTCCCGCTATCGCGCATGTCTTGGACCAAATGGTCGCCACCATGGCACACCTCTAGGTTACCACATCAAGTTGCCTCCTTACTACAAACTTTAGATTAAACAAAGGGTGGGCAAAGAGCAATTTGGCAGCGGTGACGAAGAATGTGAGCCTGTTGACGCATATGATACACCGAGAACAGGAGAGTGCTGAATGAATGAATGAATGAATGAATGTGTATACTTGTTACGAAAGAGCATTGGGGAGGAGTATTGTCCCCAAGACACCTAGAGCTCTTCCTGCTCCCAGCAGCCTCAGCACGAGACGATGCAGGCCATGGAAGTTGTACATTTCTCTGCGATAGCCATAGATGGGGTTGGAGTACACATTTTTATGTTACCCTCCTACCGCATGAAAGTGTTCGGAGTCAATATTCCGTGCAGTCGTTTCATTTGGTGTTTTAGTTTCTGTGTTTTCATAACGTGCCAAATTCGTTTCTTACTGCATGGATTACCGGAGGCATGGCGCTGCGGTAAACCGCAGCAAACGATGAGGGAGCAACGCATAGACAATTTATCCAGGAATGCTATTTACCTCCAGCCTATGCGTTCCCATAGGAAAACATTTTGACCGACTGGAGTCCGTATGTAAACAGCGAATGTAGACAAAAAAAAAATGGAGACAGTGCATCAATCAGAAAGTTGCGTCAAGGTATGGTGCGGGGGTATATTTAGGCCAAAAACAAATTGGCCAATATAAGCTGAACAGTGCAAATGTTGTCAGTAAAAGAAAGCGCATAAAATTATGGCTGGGACATCAAGCAAGGCAGAAGGCCCCTACTCACCTTGGACCAGGGTGCAGAGACGAGTTTATATGTGATACATTTTCGGTTCAAGCAATAAAGCTTTCAGCCGTGGGTAAGCCCTTGTGGCATTAACTTTCTTGTCCTCGTCTTTCTTTTTTTTGTGTGTGTGTGTGCTGCATTTACGTCATAGTGAGTCAGTACCTACTCGCTCCACCCATCTGTTCTGCCTCACACATTGACGTAACAGGGAGGGGGGGGGGGGAATGCAAAGACAGCACCAGGCATAATGAAAGGCAGGGGGCGCTGACGTATTCCTGAAGGGGAACTCTGCGCACGTATAGTCTTCAGGAATACGTCGGCCAGACAGACCGTTGCCTCAACGCGCACCTTCGCGAAACATCGAAGCTTTCCGAAAGGGGCGCTGCGCTCGCATGTAGCGGAACTCCAAGGCGTGCTTGTCCTGCAGCCAAAGCTTTACGACAGGAGTCGTCGTTGGCTTGCGTAACAAGCGAGCAACATGGGAGATAATGGAAGACTTTCGTATTAAGAAGAGCAGAGCTGGTTGTATAAACCAGGCGTTTGTGCTGCCATCAAACCGAGTTTGCTTATTAATATTATTAATTTTAATTTTTGGGCTGTATATGACGAAGTGTTCTTGATCTTCGAGAGTTTTACACGTGTACTATGCTCGTATGTAGTCGTTCCTTCTTTTCTTAGCGTTGGTACTCGTTAAATCAAGCTGTTCAAGATAACAACGCTGCTCTGCATTGGCGTACGTATATTCATTCTACGAGTATATATAAGAACTTTTTTTTTTGCTTTTTCAAATAAAAATGTCCAGTAAAAGCGCCACGTCCTGTGTTCTTTATTAACCTCTGTTCCAGTAGCGCTTTTGTCATTACTAACATACAATTTTGAATCTCGCGCCCTGAAGTCACGAGAGCGTGCACATGCACAGAGAGGCGGACAATCCTTATTTTACGAATGGGTTTCAGTGACGCCATGTGTGGCTGTTACCGCTGCCGTGTGCTAGATACGGCAGACGAATACACGTGAATACAGTTAGGTCGGTGCATTCGACGTTTCAGGCACTGCGCCGTGTCGCCTGTAGGCAGAAGAGATTAGGTGCCTTCTTCCTTTTCCTCATGAACCACTAACAACAACATTCGACGTTTCGAGGTCCTCTT